TTTGACTCACGTTTGTTTATTTGTGGAAAAGCCTTTGGGTAACTTTGATCGCGATAGGTTTTGTTTTGGTTTTCAAGGCACAACTTAGCGGTGCAAAGTTTTACGTGGTAGCGGAGCTTCGTGCTCCTACCACAGATCTGTGTGATCTTGGTTTGTCTGTGGATCCAGGAACCGTGTTTGTGAGTTTATACTTTGCTCAGGTCTTGCGTGAATCTTGTTTGTGTTTCAGGTATGGCCGACGCATCTGCAAGCGGCGGTGCGGGTCAGGTACCGACACAGCGTGGAGAGAGGGAAAGAAGTCCCACTCGTACGCCTACGACTCAGGAACAGCAACAGCCTGCACAAGGACCTCAACGTTTCAGGATGAACTCGCCGGAGGGCGGACAAGGTTTGCCTGGAGGGGCAACTGCACCTTATGCCTCTGTACCACCCCCGCCGCCGAAAGCTGCCAGTGGTTGTGGAAGTATGCCAGGAAGTCCAACTGGACAGCAAGAAGTTTTCTCCACTGTGCAGATGATTCAGATAGCCCAGATAGTGTCTTTGAGTTTGAACCAGGCTATGGGTGAGTTTAACATGAGGTTGAACGGTTTGCAACAACAGGTAGTTCATCAACAGAATGTGTTTGCTCAGGCACAGGTGCAGCAAGCTGCATCACAACCAGCTCAGGTACCAGTTGCGAAGACATCACCTTCTATCTCAAGTGGTTTGTCATCATTTGGAGATCGTCCACCCACCAGTCCACAACCCAATTTTCCAAGGAACACTGTGGAACAGCCACCAGGTTTGCAGCAGTCGCCTCAGAGACTGATTAGTGAAGTTCGTCAGGGGCAGGGTACTGCACAGAACACTCAGGGTGAAGCGTCGTCACAGGATGACAGGGATGTCTTTACTAAGAGTGAGAAGTGGCTTCCTCCATTGCCCAAGTGTGAGCATGGAACTTGGAAGACACGTGAACAGGAGATTTTGGGTTTTGCCGGCTATGTTCAGTCTTTGAGGAGCTGGGTAGCATTGGCAAGTGATACGTTTGGGTGGGAGCTTGAAAGTGCGCTGAGTTGGCCGCACGAACTGCACATGACGAATCTGAAACTTGCACAGCAACTTCGTAGTGCCAGGTTGCTGGCCATCCTAACTCAGGCGTTTGCAGAGTATCCGCGAGCCTACAGGCCTATTCAGAAGGAATTGGTATGGATGGTTCTTTTCAGGCAGTGCGAGGAACGTCTGGTTTTGAGGCGTTGCGTTTGCTTGCAAAGGAGTTCAGTTTGAGATCAAGAGCGGAAGCTGCATTTTTCAGGTCTGAGTTCATGTCCAAGACGTTTAAGGCACAGAGTGGCCCTACACAGATCAGTGATCTGGTCCGACAGATGGACGTTGGTTTGTCCAAGTATCGGAAGTTGATCGATACTTTGCCTCAGCATTGCGACAAGACTGGTTTGGATTTGCAACAGGTCGACTTGACGTTGATGTTGCTGAGATCTTTGCCCAGTGATGTGAAGAACTATGTCGTTTTGCATGCTTCAGGTGAAGGCTACACTGATTATCGCACAGCAGCTCTGAAGTTTGAACAGCAACAACGTTTGTTTCAGGAGCTTGGATAGATATATTAATATTTATATTCAAGCCCCAAGCCAACCCTCAACCAAACCTTATATAAAGAGATCTTAAACCAACTCGATGATAACATCAAATGAAACTATTGTGCATCGTTGTGCCTTAACCTACATTCCACATGTTTCCAAGGTGCATGTCGTGTAGTATATACACCTTAACTTGAGTATCACATTCAACCAAGCACCTTGCATGTGAAAATAAGTGTTTCCAATCTGCTTTGGGGGGGAGGCACTGCGCGCTCCCCCCCAATCCCCCCCTCCCGTTTTTTTTTTAATTTAAATTCAAACTTGCACACATTTCAATACACTAGTTTGGTTAGACTATACTGTATATATATATATATTGTATATATATTGTATATATATTGTATATATATTGTATATATATTATATATATTGTATATATATTGTATATATATTGTATATATATATTGTATATATATTGTATATATATTGTATATATATTGTATATATATTGTATATATATTGTATATATATATATACATATGGTTGTTCATATACACAGCTTTCATCCCAAAATAAACTGTAAATAATCATGTGCATGCATATGCGTCCACATAAGTATAGTTATTTGTATGTACATGTTGTATCCCTAAAAAACCCCTAATCCAACCCTAAACAAACCCTAAACAGACCCTAAACCAGCCCTAAAGAAACCTTAAAACCAACCCTAAATACACCTTCAACAAATCTAGAATAAACCATAAACCAACCCTAAATAGACCCTAAAACCAAACCCTGCAGATATATTAATTACACTTGTAAATGCATTGATCTACATATGCATATAGTCATGATTAGTCATGCATGTATACCTATATCTATCTATATCTATCTATATCTATCTATATCTATCTATATCTACGTATCTATATCTATCTATATCTATCTAGATCTATCTATATCTATTTATATCTATCTATATCTGTATCTATATCTACATCTATGGCTGTATCTATATATCTATATATCTATATATGTATATAATTATCTATATATCTATATCTCTATATATCTCTATATATATCTCTATATTTCTACCTATCTCTATATATCTATATCTATATCTATATATATATACATATCTCTATATCTATATATCTATCTATCTATATATATATATATTTATAAATATCTCTATATATCTCTTTATATATGTATATATATATATATCTATATGTACATCTAAATTTATATCTATATATCTATTTACCACTATATATCTATATATCTGTATATAAGGTTGCCTGGGAAGACGCTTTAGCTGATTCTGAGTGGACGCTACTGCTCCTCCTCAGCCCTCTCCCCCATACCCCCTTCCTGTTTTCTTATTGAGGAAGGAAAGAAAATGTGAGGAAAATGATGAAAAACCAAGGAAAAAGTAATGGAAAACGAGGAAAAAGTGAGGGAAGTGAAGGAAAACCAATGAACAACTAAGAAAAAATAATGGAAAACGAGGAAATTACTTTACTTCGCGTGATCCCCACCGTGACATTTTTACATTTTCTTACTGGCAAATCTTCTGGCATTCTATCTGACATATCTTCTGGCATTCTATCTGGCAAATTTTCTGGCATTCTATCTGGCATATCTTCTGGCATTCTATCTGACATATCTTCTGGCATTCTATCTGGCATATCTTCTGGCATATATTCTGACATATCTTCTGGCATTCTATCTGGCATATCTTCTGGTATATCTTCTGGCTAGTTCTGGCATATCTTCTGGCATTCTATCTGGCATATCTTCTGGCATATCTTCTGGCATATTATCTGGCAAATCTTCTGGGATTCTATCTGACATATCTTCTGGCATATGTTCTGGCATATCTTCTGGCATTCTAACTGGCATATCTTCTGGCATATTATCTGGCAAATCTTCTGGGATTCTATCTGGCATATCTTGTGTCATTCTATCTGACATTTTATCTGGCATACCTTCTGGCATTCTATCTGGCATATCTCATGGCATTTTATCTATCTGGCATTCTATTTGGCATTCTATCCGGCAAATCTTCTGGCATTCTTTCTTTGTAACTTTCTTCTGCACATTCTTTGTCCCATATCTTCCTACATGAGGTCCGGCAGGGAACACTTGGCATGGATACTCGCGGTTGAGGTCCGGCAGGGAACACTGGGCGCGGATGGTCGCGGTTGAGGTCCGGCAGGGAACACTGGGCGCGGATGGTCGCGGTTGAGGTCCGGCAGGGAACACTGGGCGCGGATGGCCGTGGTTGAGGTCCGGCAGGGAACACTGGGCGCGGATGGTCGTGGTTGAGGTCCGGCAGGGAACACTGGGCGCGGATGGTCGTGGTTGAGGTCCGGCAGGGAACACTGGGCGCGGATGGTCGTGGTTGAGGTCCGGCAGGGAACACTGGGCGTGGATGGTCGTGGTTGAGGTCCGGCAGCGAACACTGTGGATCGCGGGTCGCAGTTGAGCAAGGACGACGAGGACGACGAGGACGACGAGGAGGACGAGGAGGAGGAGGAGAGGAGGAGGAGGAGAGGAGGAGCAGGAGGAGGAGCAGGAGGAGGAGAAGGAGGAGGAGGCAACTGACATAAAATCTAACAACCCTCACCTGGCAGGTGGGGAAAAATGAGGAAAATGATGAAAAACCAAGGAAAAGCAATGGAAAACGATGAAAAAGTGAGGAAAATTATGAAAAACAAAAGAAAAATACTGGAAAACGAGGAAAAAATGCGGAAAAATGAAGGAAAACCAATGAAAAACCAAGGATAAGTCATGGAAAACAAGGAAAAAGGGAGGAAACCGTGCCCACGACCAAAAAAAAAACAAAACAAGAAAAAAACATCCCCAAAACATTCCGCACCCTTTTAATTGGAGTGGTTTTTGCACGTTAGATGCATTCCACATCAGAATTCGCAATGACTGTTCTGAGCAAGTGTGTGCAAAGAGCAGTAAACAAGTCTGTGTGAAAATATTTTTTTTTAAATTTGGATGGGCGATTTTCTTGACATTTGGACGATTTTCTTGACATTTGCCTGCCATGAAAAAACAACAGTGTGTTGTCCAGAACACCGATTTGTTGGAGACGTGCTCAATTTTTTCAAACGGTCAACATGTGACGTGGTTCCACTCCGCAAAAAAATCGGCACTACAACTCCGCAGAACCCGTCACATCTCCAAAAACAAACGTGGATTCAAACAGTTTCTTTGGCAACATGAATGCCAACATGATTGTTTTTGTGCAGGAAAAAAATACACAATTAGCTAATTTGTGCGATGCCGCTCGTTAGTTTCCGATGTAGTTCTGCAAGGTCAGTCTCCTCATACGTTTGGGTGGTGATTTTGCAAAGTCACCGGATGCCATGGACCCGGAAAAACTCGAACCAACCAAATCCATCTGCGATCATGACTGAGACCAAACGCATAATAGCAAATGGCCATTACAAAATCGAAAACGCATCTGTAAAACTGGATAAGCGTCGCTTGGTGGTCGCTCCGAAACATGCCGTGAAATTTGATTTTGACGACATTTCTCAACCTTTTGCGACGGAATCATCAGTGGGACGAACTCCGTGCCGGATTAGACTTCTCCAATGCGATTGCTTGGAAGCAGCTGAACTTTTGAAAGCAGAACACGGAACTATGCCTCTTGTTTTGGACTTTGCTAGTGGATCAAATCCGGGAGGTGGAGTGAAACGTAACCAGCAGGGAACACAAGAGGAAAATATTTGCCGACGGTCAAGTCTGTTGCCATCACTCGAACAACAAGACTATCCGTTGCCATCGATGGGTGGCATTTATGCTCCCGACATTTGTGTTTTCCGAGGACCTGGACGAAGTGGTTACCCTTTGTTGAAGGAACCCTTTTGGATAGCCATTCTGGCAGCAGAAATGCCCAATTTAGCAGAGATTGGAAAGAAAGAACGGATCTTTATCCAAGGCAAAATTCAAGGAGTGCTACATATGGCTTTGCGGCATGGACATTCGTCCTTGGTCCTTGGTGCCTGGGGGTGTGGAGCCTTCGGTAATGATGCACGGACGATGGCCGCCATTTTCAAGGACCAAGGTTTTGACATTTTTCGACCACATGTTTGTTTTAAGCATTGATGGTAGGACTAGTGGGTGCTGGATAATGGATGCCAGTTGAGTTGAAATTGTTGTTTGCAAGCGCAATGAAAGGTTTGAAAACTCGCAAGGAGGAACTTGGCAAAATTGGTACTGCCATGGATGTGGTCTTTGCCATTCTGGGCCACAATGCGAACATCTTTAGTGAAGCCTTGGAACTCCAGATCAGCGCGCCCGAGGGCAAACCCGCCGCTACTGTGTCTGCGACAGCTACGGAAACTGATGAAACTCCGGAAACGATTCCCCTGGCAAAGGCTTCAGGAGAGCACAAAAAATGGGCGTGTGTGTTCCTGAGCAATGGTTGTACTTTATTGCACAGTTGGTTTCATTTTTTCTGTGCTAAATGTCTTGTCGGGTGCACCTGGGAATAATGTTTTTTAGATTTTAGAGATTTCATGGTGCTTATGAGACGGTTTAAACAACAACAGCAGTCGTGTGAATCGTTAGAAACATCATTGGCAGCATATAACAATTTTCAGATTGCATAACAACACTTCAGCAACACCCTTCAAAAACAACACATTTTCTAGCAACATTATTACATATGTGTTATATATTGCATAGATTGCATTACAATATTGCTTGAAACGTTGCGAACAACTTCACAGCGCAACTAGACCCCCAAAACAAACAAGTGGACGAATTGCTCCCATCACGGAACAGGAAAGTCAGCAGGAACATCACTGCATCATGAGCGAATTGTTTGAGCTCTGATTAGCGTGCAGCGCACGACACCTTGAACATTCCATGTCCTTTGGTTGAAAATCAAGCGTTTTGTCCACCTCTCGGAAGCCAACACATGGCAGGTATGGACAACCAATGACTAATGGACCTTAGTTGCTACCTCCACCTGCATTGATTCTCCAAAATGGTTATACAGGTTTTGCGAAGAAAACATGGACACCAGATTGCACATTTGGACTCATTCTATCAAACGGAAAGGGACATGATCATGAAGTTTCACGTCAGCATCAGTAGCAATCAGCTAAATCATGATGCAATGGTGGAAGCTCAAGAAACCAACGCTTCAAAGCTCTCCCTGTTGCAACGTCACCGTGAAGCTCGTGAACTTTTGGTAAAAATTCAATCTGAACCCAAGGAACCCAAGGAGGTGAGTGAAAGGCGCAGACCGCAAAGCGCATGCAGCGAAGTCTTTGGAAAGCGAGGCTCCCAATCTTCCACTGACCGTCCCAAATCTGCTGCACCGAGCTTTCTCGGTGGCACTGGCACTGGTGCTGGCACTGGTCGTGGGGATGCGGCAGCTGCGGCAAATGTGCATTTTTGTCCGGTGCCCAATCCTTTGCCACCTCACTTAGGAGGTGGTAGCAGTGGTAGCACATCATGTGCACCTCGGAAGCGACCGCTTTCTGCCTTTCCAAACCGTGCAGCCGTCTCACAAGTCGGACGGCGGCCTGCAAGTGCTTGCGGTGTGCGAGAGCGCTTTGACAACGAGGTGGCTTTTTTATTTTCGCTGAAAAAAACATGAAACATTTTTCTGACTTTGATCTTGCAGGCCTCCAAGAAGAAGGAGCACTTTGGTGGCACATTAAGATGTGATTAGGTTGAAATGATTGAAAATCACTTCGCGGTTGTAGCTTTGGCCAGTGTAGGCCGTGTAGGTGATGACAGGATACATGAAAAACTCGCATGACTCACAGACAACGGTTTGGTCTTCTCGATCAGCTGTTTTTCACTTCCAAGGTCCTCGAACACCCTAGGCCGCCCGTTTTCAAGTCATTTTCCGAAATGGATTGAACTGGGTATTGGAGGTTTGTAGATGTTTCTAATGATGTGTCAGTGCGGGTTCGCAAGTCAGATCATGCGCAAACGTCGGATAAGTGAAAGAAGATGGCGGAGTTTTCGTTTTTGCTTGAGATATACTTGTGCTTGGTCGCAACTGGTGGGTAGGTTCAAGCGAAGCACCAAGCGAAAGTTCGGATCCCAAGTAAGTCTTGTTTTCTTCCAGTCACGAAACCTATTGCCATTGAAATTGACTACAAACTGCTGAAACATCTATACTTGGCAATGTTTCTCCAAACCATTTCGAAAAATGTCTGAATTTACACAGTGCGTGAGAATCATGATGACGGATCATGATTGAACAATTTGAAAATCTGTGATCGATCAAATTTATTTGTGTTTGGAGCTGCTTGTCTTGTCCTTTTCACTAGTACTGTAACTCAACGTGACTCAACATGATATAGTTTGAACATGTTTCAACAAGAAAGTGCACTGGCCGTGCAAGGCAGCCGAGGAGCATTGCCGAGCCAGGGCCCGTCGTCCTTGCGTGTTTGAGCATTTCAAATCAAAACGACGAGCCGGTGACTAATGCGGCTAGCCCTTCAAACAACAGGAGGGAGTCAACTCAGTCTGAAAATGCAGGGACCTTCTGGCTTTTGCAGCTCGATTTGGTCCGGGTCTTTGTCTAATGGAGGTGAACTTTTTCACATTTTTTCACTTCGCTGTGGCAGACAATCACTTCGTTTGGTTCTTTTACAGTTCTACTATTCCTGGCTGATTCGAGATCTGAATTCCAAGCTGAGGCCCAGCGCCCCCGCTTCCACCTCTACCACCAGAACTGGACGCCCACATGTTAGCATGAAGCGCAAGACGTAGCTTTTCTTAGCTGCCATGCCGAAAACGTTTATATATATATATAATATTGTATATATATATGTTACATATTGTTACATTGTCATACAATTCTACAAAATCCTCACTCACTTGTCAAAGTTCTGCTTGAATCCATGATACAAGACAGATCAAGACAGTGTAATTTTTATGAAGGAGGTGATCCAAGTTCATGATTTGAATTCGTGAATTAAGGAAATTGTTTCCAGTGCCTAGCAGACGCTAACCTTTTATCTTTTTCTGGGACCACAAATCTAGAAAACTGGGTGAAACAAGACCGGTCGAAGAGTTCAATTTCTCCTGTGTTGGCAGTTGTTTCTCTTCTCTCTGTCGGAATTGATAGGCTTCGTTCTCGCTCTTGCCAGGAGAGAGGAAACTCGGCCAGGAATGCACCAGGTGCCAAACCATTTGGCCAAACCATTTGGCCAAACCATTTGGCCAAACCATTTGGCCAAACCATTTGGCCTTTCTGCGCATGGTCCATGTCCGCCAAATCCTGCTTGGCAGGTCCGGAAGAAGAGTTGGATGACTTCACTCCAGAGGCTGCGTCGGGCTTGCAGTCAAAGGCAGCAACTGACAAACATAGAAAATGACATGACACAGTTCTTGGGCCACTACGACGGTGATGGTGATGGTGATGGTGATGATGATGATGATGATGATGATGATGATGATGATGATCATCATCATCATCACCATCACAACAACTATTGTTCTTGTTCTTATTACTGGATATGACCCATTGGTGACTCATTCAATGCAACGATCAGCTGTAGCTCCACCTCGCAACTGGCGACGTTTTTACCACAGGAGAGACGGCTGGAACAAGAGTCCGAAGAGGTAGCCGAGGGTTGTGGCCTTTGAGTTGGCAATTGGCTGGGGCTCAACATTCTTTCATGAAACATGATGAAAGTTGTGGACGCTTTGGTACCTGCTCCTTGAGCCAAAGAAGGCTTGTTGAATGACTTCGGGATTTAGACCGCAGGCTCTCAACCAACTGGAGGCTCTGGATGCAGCAGCCAAGGCCTCAATGGCCTTAACAGCCTCAGTTGCTTCAGTCCATCAAGAGCCAACGGTGTTTGCACAGACTGCTAAAAATGCGCAGAATTGCCTAGAAGGGGGATGTCCATTTTGTCATTTGACGATACTGGTGTGACATTCATATGTGGTTTCTAACACCTCTAAGTACAACATGTTATGCATTTCCATCGTTTGCGGTGTTTTTAGGTAGAGGCTTTGCGCATGAAGTTGGAAGTCAGCAAGGAAGACGTGGAGCCGCTGGCTCAAACATGACTTGATGAACCAACATCTGGAAGTGATATACTATAACAACCACAGATTTTGATGCTTCGCCATTTTTATCCCAATCTGTTGGTGAAATCGGTTGATTGTTACAATTTGTTGATCAACAATTGTTGATGGTTCATCCCATTTTATGTGATTTCCCATTTCCATTGAGGTGTTCGCAAGCTGAGCTTCTCCAGCTCCGGTCTGCTGCTAGCAGCTGGACCAAGGTGGAGCGTCAAAGTGGGATATCTGTTTATCTTTCAATCATTCTGTGTATTTGTCTCTCTAGCGTTCTATCTATTTAAATAATTATATATATATATAATGATATAATTATATATATATATGTTTAAAGATGCATACAGCACACACACACACATGTGTATGTATGTATGTATGTAATGTAATGTAATGTAATGTAATGTAATGTAGTGTAATGTAGTGTAGTGTAATGTAATGTATGTATGTATAGGTAGTCAGTATAAATGCATGTGTATCTACATATACCAAATTAGGTCCTTCAGTGAGGCTGCAGAGGAAAGTCGCCAAGAGCTGAAAGATCGAGAACTTCGTTTGCAGGACCCAGTCTGCGGCAGGGTCAACTTTTCAACGGATCAGTTGCTGGAAATTGGAGCAATAAGATCTGTTGAAACTAATTGGTGGATAGTGGTTGATGAATATGGACTCAGGTGGAATTCATGAATAGAAGATGGAGAGGTTTTGTTTTTGGAGTACGGAAGCCTCTCTGAAACACTGCGATACTCTCCCGGAGATGGAGTCGAAGTGCCAGGGACCATGTGATATGCCGAGCATTTTTTCGGCTCAGAAAATAAGTTGGCTTCTCGCTGTCTGTTTGGTGAGCGGACGATTTCATCCTGCAGGAGTTGTTGGCTGTGCTTCCCGTGCTTTCCCCAGTGGAGACAGACTGAAAATCTGAAAGACGAGATCATTTTGCAGTTGACAAGAGCCGTTTTCGCAAGACGCCTAGACGCTTCGTGTCTAGGCGGAAGAGGAGGAGGAGCTGTGAGCCTGAATTGTTTTTGAGCAGAGCACTAAAGGTGAGAGGTTTGAAAAGGCTTCGGCCTTGGGATGTAGCCAAGTGCAGTAGATTTTCCTCCTGGTGATTTGCCAGCGGCCACTGTGCAAACACAGCTTGGAACTTGTTGCAACAATTCCCCTGCCTTTCCCAGGAGTCTGACAAGCAAACAGCGTTGGCAGCAGAGAGGCAACTCGGGTGAGCTTCAAGTTTGTAGCACTTCATGGTATAGGGTGGAAGACACCAGCATACTGCTAGTCTAATGGATGGTTTCGAGATTGCTGTGAAACAGTATCATTTAGCCTGTGAAACAGTAAAATGAGATTTAGCCAGCCCTCAAATCTGAACAGGTTTGGGTGGAATGTGTCTCTTATTTTACCTGGAAACTGCTGGCTTGGCTTACCAGGCTTACCAGGCTTACCAGGCTTACCAGTAAATGTATTCATTTAACACTTCTCAAAGATGCTACAAAATTAGAACATCTCCAGGCTGCGGGTGCTGCAATTGCAGACAGATCGGCTCCGCGAGCAGGCGGAAGTTTTGGAGATTTGCCGATCGTCTTTTTGGAGATTTTGAGCATATGGCTTTTGATTCAACTTTTGGCTTCTGATGGCTTCTGGTGAGTTTTCCGATCGATTTTTTTTGGGTGTTTTTTTGGTCCATGTTCCAGGGATTCTGATGGATTCCGATGGATTCGTGGAGCCACGCCAGGTGGAAGTGCAGCAGGGTTTGCTTCTGCAGCGCCTGGAGGAGCGCAAGGCGTTGGAGTCTCAAGTGGAGGCAGAGCGGTGACAGATTGGTGTTGTTGGCTTCGCCGTGCACTGCTCTCCCAATGTTTACGCAATGCTTACAGCCGAATGGTCTGAAATCATGGGATTCTGAAGATGATTTAGAAGCAGGAAGGCCTCACCTTAAAGACAAACGTTTTTTTTTCCTTTCTGCAGATCTGTCTGCCACAGGGCCTCACCAGCGAGCGTGACGAGCAGAGGGCAGTACAGCAGAAGGCCTTCCTGGGATGGTGGCTCTAGCGCCTAGCGGAGTGTTGAGCACAGCAAGTTGCTGCGCTTCCTCGATCTCTCAGTTCCACAGCCACCTTTCCAAGAAGACACTCTTTGGATCTCTTTGGTGTCTCCCATCTTTGCCATGAAAACTCTCACGACCATTCACGACCTGCGACAGCGGGTCACGGGCCAATCAGCACCAAACGTCCCGGCGAAGGGCTGAAGCTGAGTCCTCTTGCCTTTTGCTGTGCCCCGAAGTGCGTGTACTGCAGATCCACAGCTTGGCTGTGAATGGAGTTATGATAGTTATGTATATAATGGGTATCTACCCAGCATGTTGACAACGGATTCGATGGCCAACTTGGTGAGTTCAAATTCGTTCGAATGGTCCTGCTTAACGATGGTAGGACCCAAATGGGCACGCATGTTTGCGATGGTTAAGAAACCAAACAGCTTGAGTATTGTTGCCAAGTGAAGGAAAGAACATTCTGACAGGCGAGAGCAGCCTTGCGCACGGCAGAGAGCCAGCTGAAGGTGAAGGAAGAGGCGCCCGAGTATTGGACGTGTCTCTGTTGCATGGTGTTGGCTGGTCCTTACTCCTTACTGGTCTTTTTTGCGTAGTGTTTTGTTCGGTGTTCCTGAATTCCTGAATTTCTGATCAATTTGTGAACTTTCATGAACTTTCATGAACTTTCAGGAACCACTGTAACTTGTAAATTGTAACATATTGTAACCATTGTAACCATTGTAGCCATTGTAACCATCATGTTGGGGCCCTCGACTCAGCCTCCAGGCGCTGTCTGCATTTGCACGGCGTCGACAAGATCTTGAGCGTCAATCTGTGCGCATGCGTGGTGAGGCCCCGCTGAACTTGACACTCAAAAGATGTCTGACACCGCAATGGCCCAAGGGGGCCCAAGGGGGCCCAAGGTATATCTAATCTTTGGAATCTTTGGAATAATTCAGTTTCAATCTGTGAACTGGCTTCGCAAAAGCCGCAGCGCAAGACGTGTTTTGTACTGTGTGGATTTGTGCTATTCCAATGCAAGCAACCATGAACGACTTTACACACTCGCATCATGTTCCGGTGGGCTGCAAAACATCACTACATGCTGGGATCTGTCCATACAGCAGCACAAGCGACAAGAATTGTTTGCAGTACTTTCATAGGGGAAACCAAGCCTTCAAGGTCAACCACCAGCCTGCAAGGTGCGAGGTCTCAAAGCTCGCTTGGCGGTTTCAAGCTCAGATCCTACTCTACCCTGTACAACTCACCGTAAGTTACATTATATATCATTATATTACATTACACTACACTACATTACATTACGCCAATGACATTGCAAGTACATTAAATTACATCGTATGACATAGGTACATACTTATGTACACACATACATGGTGTGACGTTTATGCATGCCAGTAACGACAATTTCTTGCACTGCATGCTTTATTAATTATTAATTGCAACTAAACACGTGAGCCACTCCTTTGCGTCTAACTTTGCCACCGCTGATTCAAATGCATTCATGTGGCTCCATAGCATTAAGACCTCAAGTACTTGGCAACTTGGCATGCAGTGTTAGCTGATGTTAGCTGCATGGTCCGCATGGTGCAAGAATGCATTGCCGACACAGGACCTTGGGACAGTGAAAGGCACAATCACACTGTCAAGTTTCAGCCCGATAAAGTGATGATGTCCCACTGTATATCTTCACCTAGGGTCCAGTATCGAACCTTTTACGCAATGGCAACGGACAATTCACCATTCATAGATAATCTTCCTATTTAAAAGCCCATTCGTAGGGGGATTTTCTGCACCGTGGATTTTTTCGCTGTCCAGTCGAGTCAGTTGACTCCGCTTCCAGGAGTCAATTGGGCACTGTGGCGAGAGCGCCCTCGGATAGCGACTTCCGTGTTGGCGCGCCTCGCGAAAGAAACGGATGGGATCAAAAAGACTTTGGACCTGCTCTGTCAGATGCAGCAACAAGAGGCTGGTGATGTCTCTGGTGTAAAAATGGGAGTAAAAACATTTGCACATTCGATCAGCCAGTTGCAAGATTTGTATAGATTTGTAGCTTCCTGTTTCCTGGGTTAGGCCTAGGCAAAAACACACACTGTGGGCACACGCTGACAGCATTGTGGTCTTGATCAAGCATTTGTTGGAAATTCAAAAGAATCAGAAGAAACATGTGGGGGGTTCCATAAATGGGGGTACCCCTAAATCATCCATTTCCAAAGGATTTTCCCTTATAAACCCTCACTTTTTGGGTATCTCCAAGTAAAACCCCCCATGTGGTGCTTGATTTTTTTTCTGCGGGAAAGGTTGAGACAAACATTTTTCACTTCAGCTGTGCAATCAGTGCATGCGAAAAATTGGCTGACTGGTCGATGGCATTGGAAATCCTGCGGAAGATGAAAGAGCGACAGGTTCCGAAGTTTTGGTGTGACCTTTAGAATGTATTGAAAAGATCAGTCGAGAAAGTGAAATATTTGCCGAAATGCAGCAGCTTAGTACATGGCTTGCCTGTAAGAATGCACATATGGCCTTCGGAAAGTTGCAATTTTCAAACGTGTCCACTGTTCTGGTAGCTGTGGTCCATGCTTGTGTCCCAAGGGCCATGGCCCCCGTGCGAGGTGCCCTGTAATGTGGTGAGTTGCAGCTCGACTCTCAGCGCTTGCGAAAAAGCCTCGCAGTGGCCGATGGCTCTGGAGCTGTTCCAGACCATGACGGAGCAGTAGCTATCCTCCAGACCAGCAACCCAATAACAACCCCGGAGTATTAGGCACTGGTTGACATATGTTGACATACTAAGTGGAATACACCCAGAAAGTGATCATTTGCTATGAGAATGGTACCCCCAAACTAAACAGCCCACGGGTTTATTGATCCAGGGTTGACATTACACTTTATAGACTTATAGATGATTTCCCCATGGAAGATGGTCACTTGCCATTGCCATGTGTGATTACTGGAGGGTACTCTGCCAGAAGAGCTGGGACTGTCACGTCAGGGTTGTCTGATCAACCTTCAGACGAGAAAACAAAGACTTTGCTTCCTCCAAGAGGCTACATGAACAGTCCACTTTCATCCACTTTCATTCCACTTTCCACCTGTGAATATCAAGGCAACTTTATAATTTATAATGATTGCTTGGAGACTTGGCAACAGGAGCAGTTTCCTTGTCCAGTTTCAAATTCTGAGAGCCAAAACCTTGGGATTTGGCTAAGGCAAATTTCACCAAATCTGATTGCATTGAGTTCCACCATCAGTGCATGTGAGAAAGGAGGAGAATGGCAAATGGCACTGGAGCTTTTCGCCTCTGCTCACATGGCACCCTGAAAGAATGGCCAGTTCAACATATTTCAACATTCAGCTCTTTTGCAATTAGAATTGTTCTACTAGACTTTACTAAGGATCACGATGTGGTGAGCTATAGTTCGATGATCAGTGCATGTGCGCAGGGTGGCCAGTGGCAACTGGCTGTCCATATTCTGCAAACAATGACAGAGAGACAGACACTTTCAAGCAGCTCTTGCCCAGCCATCTGCCGTAGTCGAATAGAAAGTTGTCTGGCAGAGAACTCTTGCAACTCAATCCTGGAAGAGGGCCAAAGTGGAACAGTCCAGTTGTTCGGAGAGGGGATGACAGAACATGTCATGGTGTGATTCAGTGCATATATATATATGGTGCATATAGCTTCTCATGGAAAGCCAAAGTATGCTTTGACCTGCGTTGGTAGTCGCATCTGGGTCATCGACCTGTGAAGATTTCAACAGAGACCAGGACAGAGCCAAACATCATCAGCTTCAACTCTGTCATCTCTGCGCACGAAAAAGGACGTCAGTGGCAAAGAGCACTGCATTTCCTCCTGTGGATGTTCCAGGTGCGCCTTCTGGGTCTGACACTGAAGGAGCAGCCGTTGAGCTTTTGTTGAGGTCTGGAAGACGATCGCCGCAACTCCCAAGTTTGGTAAATCTCCGTGGCAAAATCCTGATCACGGAAGGCCAACAAAGCTCCGAATGTCATCAGCATCAGCGCGACCATCAGTGCCTGCGAAAAGAGCGGGCAGTGGCAGCGGGGGATGCTGTTGCTGACGCTCGGCCATAGCAGATGCCTGGGATGGTCCAATGGTGGATTTTTCACCAATCTGACCCGATCTGACCCGGCAGCTGTGATTCGAGGAACACCATGCCAGTGTGGAGCGTGAAGCCAAATCTTGTGAGCTTCAACGCAGCCATTAGTGCAGCCGAAAAGGCCGGATGAAACAGACCCAACTGTCCCACAGTGAGAGTAGTGAAAGGCAGGTTGGTTTGCTGACTATAGCGTGCTATAGCCACTGTTAGTTGATAACTACTCGGCAGGCACAAGAGTGGGAAGTCGCGCTGCAGCTTTTGTCCACGATGCTGCTCCAGAAGGCAAACTGGCGAAGTCATCACACGTTTTTAAGTTTTCAGGTGTTGCGCGGAACAGGATTCTTCAGCGACAGGTAAAGCGTAAATTATGCTGCTGTGCTTCAATTTGCAACATTCAGTCAGAGGTAGCACTCGAGTAACATCCAACACAGCCTGCATATCGGAGTCTCTTTTGTTGTTTGAAAGTTCCTTCTGAAGTCACAGGTGCTGCCCTCAGTGGTTAGCTACAGCTCTGCCATAAGTGCTTGCGAAAAATCACTTCAGTGGGAGATGGCTCTTGCTCTGATGGCTGCAATGCCTTTCGCCCGTGCCGCCAAGCTGAATCATCTCATGTAGAGCAAACAATTGAGCAGTGTTCAAAGTTGCTGTTGGTTGATCATTATAGAGGGTCATACTACCCAACATTTTGGGGATTATCATGGATTATCATAAGCCACTCTGGCTTTCCTAAGGACAGAGGGCTTTGAACAATGCTCAAGTGTCCACGCATCTTACAGATTGTTTAAAACCTGAAAGGATAACTCCCAAACTAAGGTGATGCCCAGTCAAGTCACGTACAACAGTGCGGCCTGGCATAGAAAGAAATGAAGCGAGGCACTTTCGCTCTCCCTGATGGATTTGTGAAGTGTTTGAGTTGCAAGGTCATTAGTGCCTGCGAAAAGGGCAGTCAATGGCAATCCGCAGTCTTCCTTCTATTTTCAATGCCAAAAGCTCGTGTGGACCAGGAGCTGCTTTGTTTGTTGCAATTGATATGGGATGGTTTCGCGTGTGTCCTTTGTTTTCAGAGTTTGCTACATCTCGAAGCTGAAGGTTAACTAACTAACCTTTTTGAACAACTATATGCCAGTATCAGAGTACATATTTATATACATATATACACATGAACTACACATATTCATATGCCATTTGCAAAGAATATACTCCAATTATAACCAACCATTAAAGCTTTCCCCTTGAAGTTCCGGAGGACGTGCTGAGTTTTGGCGCAGCCATCAGTGCTTGCGCTCACAGCCACCACTGGCGTAGCGCTGTGCGGGTGTTGAAGCTCAATGCTGCTGATGTTGTGGGCTACAATGGAGCAGTGGATGCCTGTGCCAAGGCCTTGATGACTGCCAGTGCAGTCATCCAGATTTTGCCTGCTTTTTTGAAAGTCGAAGTTGACAGAAGTTGTCCCAAGTTAGATGAACTTTTTGCGCGGGAGGCAACGCAATGGCAGTGGGCTTTGACTTTGTGCCAAAACAGCGACTTTCTGGGCCGCAGTTTCGCCCTGGAGGCCCAGGTTCAGAATTCTGCACTGAGGCAATCTCATCCAAGCTCCATGCACAGCATTTGCACTTATATAATCCATTATAATCATATATAAATCTTATAGAAGTCTTATACAAGTCTTATATATTGATATTGAAATTGGAATATGGCGCTATACCGGTGATTTAGTAAGGAAAATTATGATCAACGACAGGATTTTTGGGTATTCCATTTTCAAAGCTAAATGTTGAAGACATGACTTGATGCCCTTGATCAGCTGTGTGAGGCCTGTGATGCCAGTGGTCATTTGTCACCGCTACCGCGGCTACTTTCGGGCCTGGATGAAGCCATTGGAGCTCTTGGAAGCTCTCGCCTGTGAAACCTGGTAGGTTTGATGTTTTTTTTGGGTCCAACTTATGGGGTTTCTGATTCCTGGATCTCCAGTGATCTTCAGGTTTCCCTTGAAGTCCCGCTTTGAATGGACGTTTTCCGACTGGGAAGTCGGAGCAACAAAGTTGACATAAGTTGACCATGGAGCCAAAGATGGCAGACTAAGTTGCCAAGCTCTGCGCGTAGAACATCGCAGAACATCGTAGAACTCTCCAGCTTGGAAGCCTTGCAAGATGGAGTGTCACTGCCAAAACTTCAACTGCTGAGACTTGCACTGGAAAGAAGCTGGTTGAAAAGGAATTGGCTGAGTGCACAGGAATCATGGAATTGTCACTTTTTGCCATTGCCTGAGATTTCTTTGCGTTGTCTGCTTTCAAATGATTGTTAACTAGTGACGATTGGTCACGATGTCACGATCTGGGGAGCACCACAGAATATCCTTGAAGTCAACTTGCAGTTGGAAGTGATACGCTTGGTATTGAACCTGGTATTGGTTCAGTCAAGCCAAGTTGTGGATACCGCTCCAAGCCAAACATTCCGTGGTGCCAAGGCTCTTGCTGCTCAGGCCAAAGAGAAGCATCAGCGAGAGGCATCGCAGTGTGGACCTCAAGGGCTCGGGCAGTGGCTCGAAGTTCATGGTTTGGATCCCTTCGAAGCCGCTAAGCCGCTAAGCCTCGCTTGTTACAAGGAAGTCAGAGCGGCACAGACAGACCTCTCTGAAGCTTCAGCATGAGGCAGGAGCAAGTCAGATTTCAAGCATGCTCAATTTCCAGACGTCACCTGCTCCCGGTAGTAATAACCAGTTAGCCAGTAGTAATTGTCACACTTGGCCAAAGTGGTGGCAGCATGGCCGTTGCCCTCGTCACAGCACAGGTGGTGGAGCTGTGGGAGGCTTTGCGCAAGTACAGAGAGAAGGCGGGAGAAATGAAAACTGTGAAGGGTCAGATAGGCCGTGATAGGCCATAGGCTGGCCATAGGCTGGCGTTCCGAAAGCTGATGAAGTGTTGCCGACCTGCTGGTGCTCAGGTTCAAATCTCCAAGAAGGACTACGCCAAAGAGGAGTTGCTTCAAAGCTTTCGAGCTCGAGACAGCACTCGCTACCTGGTGGCTCTTCAGTTGGCCAACGATGCTGAGGTTGAGCCAGAAGATATCCCTTGTGTGTACAGCCTACATCGTTTGTCCCAGACCTTCCAGGTTCCTGACATTGATGTGAATGTCTTGAGCGTCAAGGCACAGCTGTGCTTTGTGTTGGACTATACCAGCAGTATGAAGACGCAGGTGGCTCAGGCAAAGACCAGTGTCGCCCGAATGATTGAGGCGGTGAGGAACATGGTCCGGGAAAAAGTCATAGAAACACATATTGGTGACGCTGAATATTGCTGGATTTTAGTAGTTTATCTTAGTTTTATCAGTTTTATGTGGTTCTCCTTAGCTTTACCTAGCTTGGTGCACTTGTTGAAGAAGGCCTGTTTTTGAATTTTTTGGTCAAGGGTCTCAATGAGACACCAATCAGGTTAAAACTGAACCATATTTTGAACATGGGGGTATCTATGTGGCCCCTGGGAGGAACGTGTACATACCTTTGCTGCCCAACGCGTCGGTTGATTTGGAGATGACTGCGATCGCGTACAACGACTGGGATGAAGGCACAGCACGACTGGGCCGACCGGTGGTGGCTGCCTTTGGGGGCAAAGAGATCAAACGAGCGCACGATGGGAGCTTGACGCTGGAGGATTTCAATCTAGGCGGCAAGTTCACAAAGGACAGTGGTCTCGAGTCTGAACGTTTCTCAACTTTTCCCAAGTTCTTTGAAGTATTCAAACTATTCGGACTTCAAAGCAAACCACAAAACATAGTAATTTAAGCATCACCTCTGGTGGGTTGTTGTGTAGCGTCCCCGTCATCCCTTAAAAGGGCCTGACGTTTGAATTGCGTTACCAGGATGCTGAGGAGCTGGAAACCTGGCTGGATCAGGGTCTCGGCCATGGTGGTTTCATCCCCGAGGAGCTCACAGGTGCACTGCTGGCGGCCTCCAACTTGGAGTGGACCGGGCAGCAGAGGTTCGCTGTGGTGATCACCGATGCACCATGCCATGGCAAGGACTACAGCAGTTGCGCCCACGATGTCTTCTGTGATCGAAGAAATGGTCTTACCTGCACTGGTCGACCAGAAATGCCTCTGAGAACTTTGAGAGATCAGGGCGTGAAAGTCTTCATTTTCCATACAGGTGAAGCACATGCCGTCAGCATGTGTGAGAAGTTGCGGGAGTCGGAGCCTGATTTGATCCATGAGAAGGTGGATCCATCTGAAACGGCCGACAGATTGGTGTCAGTTCTCAAGGGGAAACTCCAGCTGCAGCCTCTGTGGTATTTGCTGAAGCCTTTGACCTTGGGAGAAGCCGAGTCCACGTCTCCACTGGATCTAGCTGTTGCACATGATGTGGAGCTGGAGGACACCAATGGTAAGGAGAAACACAAGCTTGGTCCCTCGGCTGCAATATATATATATATATTATATGTGTATTTTTCGGCCAATCCGAAGCATACCCAGGACTTCAAAGAGCTAATGCGTATAGATAAAAATTACAATCACAGATATCGAGATATTGATCTTTCAAAAATTTGGGCTATACCATGCTATACCTATGGCTGGACTCCAGTAAGAATTTCTTAACCTGTTTGGATCTTCCAGACCAGTTGCACATCATGTGAGAATAGAATGGGCTAGCGCCCTGGTACCGCCGACCCCCCTATTTGGGGGTTCCTAAAGAGAGAGGGAGAGAGAGAGAGAGAGAGAAGGGGCATGTAGCTGTAACAGTTGTTGCCTTGGAGGCCTGCGGAAGCGTTTGGGGGGTTTGAGGCCGGGCAAACGGCAGTCTTGAACCCCCTGAAAAACAGATGGCAGGGGCATGTAGCTGTAAAAGTTGTTGCCTTGGAGGCTTGCGGAAGCGTTTGGAGGGTTTGAGGCCGGGCAAACGGCAGTCTTGAACCCCCTGAAAAACAGATGGCAGGGGCATGTAGCTGTAAGAGTTGTTGCCTTGGAGGCCTGCGGGAGGGTTGGAAGCGTTTGGGGGGTTTGAGGCCGGGCAAACGGCAGTCTTGAACCCCCTGAAAAACAGATGGCAGGGACATGTAGCTGTAAGAGTTGTTGCCTTGGAGGCCTGCAGGAGGGTTGGAAGCGTTTGGGGGGTTTGAGGGCGGGCAAACGGCAGTCTTGAACCCCCTGAAAAACAGATGGCAGGGGCATGTAGCTGTAAGAGTTGTTGCCTTGGAGGCCTGCGGGGGTTGGAAGCGTTTGGGGGGTTTGAGGCCGGGCAAACGGCAGTCTTGAACCCCCTGAAAAACAGATGGCAGGGGCATGTAGTAGCTGTAAGAGTTGTTGCCTTGGAGGCCTGCGGAAGCGTTTGGAGGGTTTGAGGCCGGGCAAACGGCAGTCTTGAACCCCCTGAAAAACAGATGGCAGGGGATGTAGCTGTAAGAGTTGTTGCCTTGGAGGCCTGCGGAAGGGTTGGAAGCGTTTGGGGGGTTTGAGGGCGGGCAAACGGCAGTCTTGAACCCCCTGAAAAACAGATGGCAGGGGCATGTAGTAGCTGTAAGAGTTGTTGCCTTGGAGGCCTGCGGAGGGTTGGAAGCGTTTGGGGGGTTTGAGGGCGGGCAAACGGCAGTCTTGAACCCCCTGAAAAACAGATGGCAGGGGCATGTAGCTGTAAGAGTTGTTGCCTTGGAGGCCTGCGGGAGGGTTGGAAGCGTTTGGGGGGTTTGAGGGCGGGCAAACGGCAGTCTTGAACCCCCTGAAAAACAGATGGCAGGGGCATGTAGCTGTAAGAGTTGTTGCCTTGGAGGCCTGCGGAAGCGTTTGGGGGGTTTGAGGGCGGGCAAACGGCAGTCTTGAACCCCCTGAAAAACAGATGGCAGGGGCATGTAGCTGTAAGAGTTGTTGCCTTGGAGGCCTGCGGGAGGGTTGGAAGCGTTTGGGGGGTTTGAGGGCGGGCAAACGGCAGTCTTGAACCCCCTGAAAAACAGATGGCAGGGGCATGTAGCTGTAAGAGTTGTTGCCTTGGAGGCCTGCGGAGGGTTGGAAGCGTTTGGAGGGGTTTGAGGCCGGGCAAACGGCAGTCTTGAACCCCCTGAAAAACAGATGGCAGGGGCATGTAGCTGTAAGTCTTGAACCCCCGCAAAAACAGATGGTAGGGGCATGTAGCTGTAAGAGTTGTTGCCTTGGAGGCCTGCGGGAAGGTGCGGAAGCGTTTTGGGGGTTTGAGGGCGGGCAAACGGCAGTCTTGAACCCCCTGAAAAACAGATGGCAGGGGCATGTAGTAGCTGTAAGAGTTGTTGCCTTGGAGGCCTGCGGAAGCATTTGGAGGGTTTGAGGCCGGGCAAACGGCAGTCTTGAACGTCCTGAAAAACAGATGGCAGGGGCATGTAGGTGTAAGAGTTCGGCAGGAGCATGTAGATGGCTGGGGCATGTAGCTGACAGAGGTGTTGCCTTGATGGCGTGTGCCTTTGCTTGCGACCCGAGAGCCAAGTTCCACACCTCCGGTGGTCCCAGGCGCCGCCCCTGCCTTGGCAAAGGCCGGGGTCGGCGGATATGTTGTATTATGTTGTGTTTCACTCTGTATAATTTCATTCTCTTTCCATGCGAAACGTTGATGTCATCAGGAGTGGATGGACTTCTGTTCGTGGGTCAAAGAACAACGAACCCAAAGGTTGCAGTACGACGACCTTTGGAGTCCAAATTGGATCCTTTGTTTGAAAGGACCAGTCAGCAAGTAGAGCTGGATCGGCTGTACGACGCTGAGAGACGCTATTTCTTGCAGATGGCTCCGCTTCAGCCCAGCTGGTCTTAGGTCTAACTCTTTGTGATCAGCTTGGCGTGAGCAGTTGTCCTTGTACCATAGTAAATGCTGGGGCCCTGCGCGAAACATGCGTTGAGGTCTGCGGAAAAGGGTCAGTTGTTTCTCAGGCGGGAATGGAACAGGGAAAGCGAGATGTTTCCAGTGTTGATGAGGAAATCTGATCATCAGGTTCCAAGGGATACAGTCGAGGCAAAAGGACAGATATTTGTTCAGAACGTATCCAGAATGCACAGGTGCATCTTGAAGATTGTCGTGTGTGGCATCTATGACACATTTAGGCCCTTTATTTTACACCTTTGCATGCGGTTTTGCATGCAGACTTGTATGATACATGCTCTGGATTGCGTTGACTGAGTTGACTTTAAAAGTTTGGCTCAATATTGCCGAAGTTAAGTTGCCATGGTTGAGCTGCAGAATTGATTCCAAGACACAGCATCCGTTATGATGCATTTATTTAAATTTATTTAATGTGTCTCGTGCATGTGCCTTCTGTGGTAGATGGCAAAGTCATTAGGCTTAATTGAAAGCGACGCCAAATGACAGCTTCATTATTGATCCAGGTACCTTGCAAAGAGTCGAGCAAGAACTCCAACCCGGATATGAATGAACTCCAACCCCACAAAGTGTCATCAACACTTCACCTCTGCCCCCATGGCGCTGTCATGTACATGTGACCACGTCTCAGAGGAATGCCACCGGCGGCCGAAGTGCTGGTCAAACGAGTCAAAACCACGTAAAAAGATATGAACATGATGGCTTCTGAAGGTTTTCGAATAGGTTTTCGCAGGTTTTTCGCGATTATGTCAAGTTTCCATATGAAACCATTGAGGGCAGAGGTTGCAGTTCTGAGATCCGAGATCTATTTCAGAATATTTTATTACCCTCACATCGACCGAATTGCCACTGGTGTGTGTGACAGGACTCGTCACACGAGGAGGTGCATGGATACGAAGATTGTCCTGGATATGCCCCGCTGCCAAAGATGAGCCCCTTCTTGCCGGGCACCAAACACTGGGACCCTGTGCGCCAATCTTCGGTTGATGTTGAAGATTGGAGCAACGGACGGTTGACACCTTTGGAATCCTGTGGATATGGACTTGTGGATAGATTGGATTTCAGTTGCAGATGAAAGTTTTGCAATGTTTGATCGGTTGTCCGTGACAAAGTGGTGAAGGACAGGTCATTGCCAGTGATTGGTGAAGACATTGGATTGTCTATTTGACTCGCCAATCTTTCAACTGTAAGCGCTGTAAGGTCATGTGGAAATCAGTTTCTCGGCAGACAAGATTTGGTGTTGGAATGGACAAACCCGGTCAGGGTCACCTAGTTCGAGCATTGAACGATTGGATCTGGCTTCAAAGGCCATTGCTTTCAGGGGGGTTGAGTATATACTTATATATATATAATATACTTATATACTTTATTTTATCTCATCTTATTTCATCAGCTGAGGTATAGTGCAGCCCATGGCAACTTCCAGCAGGTTATTTCCACCGTTGGGCACTCGAGATTTTGTTGTGGCATTGTTATAGCAGACAATATGGACCTCAAAGCCTCAAAAAGATCTGAATCTGCTGATCACTGGTTAATGGACGCTAATGAAACTAAGGTGGTTCCAAAAAACGCGGATGGAACTCCAAACCCAAATCTGGCTACACACCAGATCTTATTCGACGGATCCTTAGTTCTCCGCAAGGCCAGGCGCCTACCTCGATTTTGGCTTAGAGATGCTATGAGATGCCTAAACCATTTTGAGTGTTCCCCTTGTTCCCCTCGCTCTCCGCCCAAGGAGGATGAACACGGTGCAGAGACAGCGGTCGCTGTGCAAAAGGCGAAGAAGTGCATCCTGCAAGGCGCTTTCCTCGTGCGTCAGGTGCGGAGTGCGATGGATTGCCAAGGGATGTCAGCTGTTTCAGGTGTTTCAGTTTGGTGAGATCAGAATCAGTGCAGGCCGTGGCGACAAAGCAGCGAACGCTGGTGCATTGCAACTTGGCAAAGCGTTCCAAACAGGGTGTGTCAGAACGTATGGGATGCTACATTTTACGGCCATTTTGTGTGGAATATGATCAGAAATCAGCGGATTTGGTGTAGGTGTATACTTGCTCTCTCTCTCTCTATATATAGACCCTGATTTTCAAATATCCCGGTTTTCACAACAAACCCAACTGTCGGCTCTTTCCAGTTTGCCAAGAACTCCAGGTGAATGGGGCCAGAATCGATCGGGCTCCATTTGCTGCGCCTTCGCAGTCCTTAGGATGCACAAAGTCGAGTCTATAGACTACTTTTAATTTCCATCTTTCTGAGAACCCCCATAGAATTCAGTGAAAAGATATCGTAGGGCTTTGAGCTTTCCCAAGATTAGGTGCTGTACCTTGGCTGGTCTGCTGATGCTGCCGCTTGGCTTGATGTGATCAGCTGGCTGGATGGGTCTCCCTTCACCAATGTACTGCGAATATGATTAATCTATGAATTGATATATTTATATATATATATATATATATTAATATTAATATGATTGAATTGATGGCTGATTTGGATCTCCATTCTTGGAGATCCCCAGGCGATTCGGTATTTCCGAGACCAAAACCTGGTCGAACGTCACTACATCGGGCAAACCCCTATGAGTGCCTGGGCTTGCACCAGTTCCCCGAAATGCTTCCAAATATATGCAAATCGCCTATGAAAAACCATGGTTGATATTGAGGGTGTTTGATATGGGATTAGATCCGAACCTCAGGAGTTTTGTCACCACCCAAAAGTTTGATCAAAATCAGCATCATCATTATCATCCATTATCATCTATATACGTTCTTCTTGAAAGCTTCGTTTAAACTGAAAGCTCCAAACTCCAGCACAGAACTGCGGCAAATGCGGCTACCAAGGCAATTCGAAATTCAACAAATTGATGGAGGAGTCGAACGCTGAAAATCTGTGCAATTTTTTAGTGGTCCCATAAATTGGTACAGATTCTCTGAAAGGACGCCAATTTACTGTGTTGGTTTCCACAGATTCATCACACTTACAGCTCTCAGCAGCTCTCAGCAGCTCTCAGCATCTCGGACCTCGGATCCAATCGCTGGCGGCATAGGAGATTGAACGGGAGCGGCCACAACTCCTTGGTGAGACTCTGCCCATGTCTCCTCCACCAAAGGCACCACAACATGGGATGGGAAACAGCGGGCAATACCACCTAGGCATACCTAGGCCACATATTAGATTGAGATAGATTAAGTATGATTGAGTTCTGTTAGGGGTTCTCAATCTAATTCTGGCTTTTAGCCTTTGTTAGCCTTTGTTAGCCTTTGGTGCATCAAGTAATTTTGGATAATTTTGGTGATTCAGCCGTCCTGGCTGTTAAGCTCTTCGCCGGAAGGTCGTTGTGGGTCCTGGGGCGAAAACCGATCGCCTCAGCAGCTCGGCAGATCGGTAGATCGCATGGCACATCCTCGCCGTCGCCTCATTCCGAGGTGGCATCCAGTTCTTCACGAACGCTCCAGTCAGAAGCTCATTATGACTCATTATGTCATTTTCCAGCCTTACGCCTGACATATCTTGACATATTTTCCGACGTTTGCCTGACGTTTGCACATGGAACTGTTAAGGAGATGCGGCCGCAACAGTTTCAGTTCAGCAACTTGTCGAAGTTGGGTATCTCCTTGATACAGCTTGCAGTCACACTTCTTCACTGCCTTTTGGGACCGAACAGTTCTACTATCTAGCGATATAAATTGATATAAAGCCAATATTTGATGTCAAGGAGCGCTGATTTTGCGTCTCAGCTCTGACATCTGGGCGCAGGTATGGCATAAGACAGATCTCTTGCAGCAACTTGGTAGATCGCATGACTAGAATGGTTGAGGAATGATCCTGGGTGAAAGAGTCAGGCATGTTACGGCATGTTCATGAACGTGGCTGTACCACTCATGGCTGGTGGTTTATTTATCCCATGCGGTCAAGAATTGATGACACAACAGTCAACTGCTTTGTGGCTCTGGGTGTCTTGCGTCAATTTCTGTCCTTGAACGCGACCCAAAGAATCGCTTTTTGGGTGAAATGCTTGTTTTGATTACCACAACATACACACAGAGTGATTGGACTGGAGAGGAGTCTTGTAACTTCTCATTGCCCCGAGTTGGAACAGCTTAGCTTTCTGCGAACATTTGCACAACTCGCTTACTGACTTACCGAGTCCAATGTTTTGCGAGTTTGGCAGTCTTGAGCCGTTTTTGAGCTGCCCGTAGATCGATGTCTCATTGCAATGCTGTGAGATTGTTGAATCTTTTGAAGGCGGATGCTCTGGGAACCTACACCTTTGGACATCTGACCCCACACATTTTTTTTTTGATGGCCATCCATTTGATGCAATCAAACCTGGCCCAATTCCGAGAGTTTCCAAACCTTAGTGCATTGTCAATTCGCCGCCTGAGTGGCGAGCGCCCCAGTCTGGAAGCCAAGTCTGGCGTTGGTCGTTTCAGCCAAGGGGTTGCCATATTTGCCATCGAAACTTTAGAAACACCCAAATGATTTAGAGTCATCTATCCTCCGGCAATTAAGCATGGCGATGGAAAAAATCCCGCTCATTGATGATTTTCCCATCAAAACCTGCATTTATACGGGTTTATAAGGGATTTTCCATTGCCATGTTTGATCAGCGAAGGGTATTTGGCTGTTCAGGTACTTTCCTGATTTTTTGTTGGTAGGACTCGACTCATATTGGCAGGACTCACAAGACGTGGTGTCCCATGGCAACCTCCGCCACTCGCTCAGAAACTGAGTCAGGGGCTGTGACAGCCACCTGATGAGCTCATAATTTGATGTGCAAAAAAAAGGCTGCAAGGCTATTCCGCTGCAACCATTTTGTATGTCTCTTCAAGTTTGTGTGTTTGCTACATGTAACAACAAAGTAATCTATGTATATATAATATATATATATACACAGTATACAAAATTATACCTTTCTACATCTGTGCCTACACTGTACACGCATACCCAACCATACCTACACATGGAGTCATTTGGCTCATACACCATGACTCGTTGAGCAACGTGATGGCTCTGTCTGATATCAAACCAAGAACACTTCATATTGTGGCAATCTGTGGGACAACCCTTACGCGAGTCAACCAAGAAATTTCTCTTCAGGATACTCGTGGTACCACATCGGCCATCACAGCTTACAGACGTCCAGGATAGATTAAGTACCTGTCTGTATTTTTCAATGTCTTGAGTTCTGGGCATATTTCGAAGTTCGCCTGATTTCCTTTGCAATTCCATTATAAAGGCTCTATAAAAGAAATCCAACAGCCCAAGGGAGCGCCAGCATGTGCTATGGGCAGCGCTTGCGGAGCCGCTGTGAACCACGACAGGAACCTACACCATGCAGCTCGGAATGATGAGGTGCTTGCAGCCAAGGCAAGGTCATAGTGATCATAGTGAGATCTAGGGATGAAATGATCAGTGGCAAATGATGCTTAATAATGGTTAATGATGGTTAACAACAACAATAATGATAATAATCATAGTCAATAATGGCTAACGGAGCAGAGTGAAACAGTTCAGGATAGTTTGGAAGTCCCTTGAGATAGTCCCTACTTTTGGCCGCGGAGTGCTATTTGCAAGCCAGCTGTTGATCCAAACAAGTGCTTAATGTAACTGGAGATTGGGAAAGCACTTCACAACTCTGCTGCACATATCCGTAAGTGGGCGACACAATCTGGAGAGTTCTGTGGACAGGTCCATTGCTTTTTCATTGTGGGGGCTGCCCTTGAACAACACATGGCCAGGGAACCTTGAGCAAAAGCCGGGCAAGCCTGCACAACAAGGCGATATCATCAGCATTGTCAATGCACACCATCCCACTCTCTTAGTAACCAAGACTCAACGCTGAAACGTGGAGCATCGAAGCACCCGATATTTTCATTTTTGTCGCAAGTTGTCCTGTGTGCATAGCTTGTCTTTCCAGATCTTGCATGTCCCAAAAGGTTACCAGAAGTTCAGTGGGAGTTTTGTTGTCCTGCGCAATAATTTGTGGAGGACAAGCTTGGCCATCACACCCCACTGCACACCGCAGCCTTTGAAGGCGCGATCACTTGTTGCCAGATGCACCACAACAACAATGACACCATTCTTGATGGCCGTGCAACAGGTGTAGAAAGTTTGTTTCCTCTTGCGGAATTCATTGATATTGGTTGAAATTTGAAATGATGATTCTTTCACATTCTTTCACATCGTTTTCTGCCGGCACAGGCTTGGACATGTTTGAAGTCGACAAACAGAAGTCACTTGCTGCTGAGGTGGAGTATCAGTGGCCCAGCTTTTGGTGGATTCAAAGGAGCGCCGAACTTGCCACTGGAATGGATGTAGGATCCCCCCTGGAATGACGTGAAACCAGTTTCGTGAGCTACAGATAAAGGCGGAGGTACGGCCAAAACAGGTAGTCAAAGGCAAGCACAAGCCGAATTTCACATCTTAAGATGGGACATTGGAATCATTGGACTGGATGTTTTAACTTCATTCGCCGATTTGCCAGAGAGGAATGGGATATCCAGAAGGTCTATTAATCCATTCCAGATGACTGCCCTCGAAAGGAGACGGTTTGGTAATAGAACTAACAGTTTTGAAATGAAAATGGCCATGGAAATGAGAGGTAAGTAAATGATAAATCATCTACTTTCATGGCTTATTTTCCATGGCAAACTCTGAAATTACCGGGTAGAGCCGACATCAGCACAGGCCCAGCTTGCAGCAGCGGACGAGCACAATGATACACCACTCCACCTGGCTACGTGACGTCCAGCAGTTCATGAAATTGTGGTTTGGTAATGCTTGGATATGTTTGGTATATTTGGTAAAAGGTTGCAGACCTCAAAATGCCACTTTCTGGCAAGATATGATTGACACCTGGAGGTACACGGGCCAAGCGGCGCAAGTTCGCATCGTGCAGATTTTGCTGAACAAAAGGATCGCCTTGAGCTTGATGCAGTCAGCAAGAAGTGCAAGTTTGGACGACGAGTTTTATTTGCATCGTATATCAGAGATATTCACAGAGTATGAAGATGTTCCCTTCAACCAATCCAGTGAAAAATCAGATGTTAATGGATGTTATATATGAATTTATGTATATAGATGTTCAAGCTTTAAAGATGCGTGTTCAAGCCTCGAAGATGTGGATTCTTGCCAACAAAATCGTGAAAAGTGCAGAGCTTTACATAGATACCATCCACAAGATTCAGATGGCATAGTGAGGCACGAATGAAATTCTAGATATGTCGTATCTCACATTGGTACTTCCAACATCCAACTTCCAAGACTGTGCAGCAGAGATTACTGTCCCTGCAGGGCAGCACCAGATGCTCGTGGCTCCTGGGAAAAGACGGTTGGTGCCTCAGGCTCTAATGCTGTGGCAAACCATAAACCACCCCAACTTTACCAGACATGGATGGTATGAAATGGTATGAAACATGTAATGTTGGTACAACAATGCCATAAACAATCCCCCAGTCATCACCAAAAATATGTAGGTGGTATATATAAACCGTTTATAAACCATTCCCAGTCATGGGTGGTTTATGGCATTGTTTTAACCATGTCCTACAACCACCCTTAAAATTTAAGCGCCAAGGCCCTCCACCTCGCTGCACGACTGGGTCAAGCAGAGGCCGTTCAGCTGCTGATTGGAGGTGGTGCACAACTGGCGATGGCCGACAAGGACGAATCAGATCAGCTTGAAATCAACTATTTGAGTTGACAATCCACATTGAATCAGCTTGGATTCACATTGAATCAGATCACTCCTGGAGTTGGAGTCGATATATTTGAGGAGAAGTTGCTGAGGGTTTGACCTTGGAGTTCTTAAGGTCAATGCCATTTTCCCAAATATTCCCAAAGCGTCCATTTGTATAAGGTGGTGCCCCGAGTTATGTTTCTTGTTTTATAACCCCCACTGACTATTAACTAGTTAGATCAGTTAGTTCGATATATCTACCATAAACATCCATAGAGCGCAGAAATAACCTAGTTAAAAACCAACTTATATTGAATTGGTATCTTAAGGCCCCACTTTGTACCTTCACTTTCCGCTCAAAACGGCAGGATGGCGATCTGCCTCTGCACGAGGCAGCACGTCATGGGCAAGTCCCCGCCACGCAGGAACTTCTAAAGCCGCTGGTCCCACAGGGCACCGTTGGGCACCAATTTTTAGGACCTCAAAACCATCCAAAGTTGGGAGCAAGTGCTGGTAAATCAATGATTTGGAGCCATTCCCATATAAGGCCGGTGTTCATCAAGCTTGCAAATGGGTGAACTCACCATGTTAATCATCCATTTTGGGCGATCATTTTGACCCGTACCTACAAGTTTGGGGGGTCACTGCAATGTCCCACAGTCCCGGATATCCCAGCCCTGCTGAGGGCACGATCCCCGGTGGATGCGGTGAATCTGGCGGGAAAGACGGCCTTGCACGTGGCCTGCGCCTGGGGTCAAGAGCAAGTGGTGGAGGAGCCACCCTCAGCCGGAGCTGAGGCGTCATGGTACATGCTGGTACAAAGCACAAAGGATGGTCACAATGGAAGTGAGGTCTTGCTACAATACTCTGCCTCCATTCATTCTGCAGATCAGTGTGCGGAACCTCGGAGGGGCTCTGGTGCGAGACCTGTGGCTCAGGAGTGTCCCAACTTATATGGACTGGGTAGAGCTGGGTAGCGTTTGACAGCCAAGCGGATGACTTTGTTTACAGCCATGTCTTGAGGTGGAAACTCACCTCTTCACGAGGTCACGGCAAGGGTCCGGGTTGGTAGTTCACACCCAGAGCATTGCCCAAATTGTCAGGGCTTTTTGCACCCTTTAAACCCCCATAAACCCCAAAAAGAAAAAGCACGAGACCAGCATATATAGCCCCTTGATCTTTGGCATCCTGTACATTGGTTCCGGTGGGATTTGGCCCCGAATCATCAACAAAAAGCGCCCCGTAGGAACTGCAGTAGTGAAATAAAGTGGCGCAAAAAAGGATCATCGCCGAGAAACCATAGCAATGCCGAAGTTCTACGGCCGAGGGTTTATAGCAACGTTGTTGGATTCCACGGCCGAGGGATTATAGGTAATGTCATGGGTTCTACGGTTGAGGGTTTATAGCAATGTTCACTCGCGATTTACTCACGATTTTAGAGCCGCTATGTGTACCTTTTAGGTCCTTGACCTACCTATTTTAGGGGCTTAGGGACGTACTTTTTGACGTCCTACGCACGAAAACTCACGATTTCTCACCATTAAGGATATTATATAGCAACGTTCCTTTTTAGCCCTAAGGACTCAAAAGGTACATCAACAGGATGTTTATAGCAACGTTCCTTTTTAGCCCTAAGGACTCAAAAGGTACATCATGAGGCTTTTGCATGGACGCACTTTTTTGACCCACTTTCTACGGATTTTCATGAGGACATTCTTTTTCAGGTCCTGGACTTCCAGTATGTAATGTAATGTAATGTAATGTAATGTAATGTAATGTATGTATGTATACGTATACGTATACGTATAGGTATATGTATACGTATACGTATAAGTATATGTATATGTATGTGTATGTGTATGTGTATGTGTATGTGTATGTGTATGTGTGTGTATATGTGGTATATGTGTGTATATGTGTGTATATGTGTATGTATTTATTGTAATGTATTGTATTGTATTGTAATGTAATGTCATGTCATGTCATGTATGTATGTATTGATACATACGTACATACATACATACATACATACATACATACATACATACATACATACATACATACATACATACATACATACATACATACATATACATACATACATACATACATACATACATACATACATACATACATACATACATACATACATACATACATGTATATATATATATGCCCAGGCATCATTCTCCCAACCCAGCCACATTGTGACCAGTCACAGGTGTTCCCACGATAGTCTTATTTTGGATGATTAAGACCCCGTCATGGGTACTGACATGGTCTAAGATTTGCTTTACCACTTTACCACAAGGTTGGTTAATATCAGCCATTATTGTATATTCTTAAACCAAAAAGACACTATGTCCCAATATTTCGCATATGTCCCAATATCAACAATGAACCAACAACAAATTGTTGTTGATATCCCCCAAGATTGCTCATAGATTGCCATCGCGAAAACAGGGCGCTCGCGTGGGGAAGCGCTACTTAGCGGAGCGTCTCATTCAGCATCGAGTGCGGACCTCGATGATTTTATTTGAACCATTTTTTTCAGTAAAGCATAGAATTTTCCAGCCAAACATCGGGGTTTTGCCGTAAATCTTCCCTTCATTCCATCAAATGGGGACATTTATATGCTGTGTATATATATAATTATATATATATACATACACATACTGTATGTATTTATGTATATATATATATATGCTATATATCTACCATACTGTGTATATATATATATTGTCTATATACTCTATATACGTACCGTATATATATATATAGTATTTAAACATATTTACACAAGGGAAATTGGTTACTCGTGACATGCAAAAATAGGATGGGGACTGAAACCATCTTTCCTAGGCGCCATTGGATGCTCAGAATCGGGATCGGCGGACGCCTCTCCATGCAGCAGCGGCTGCGGGCAACTATGACGTTGCCTCAGTGACACGAGAGCTGTGGATGTGGAGCTGTGAGTGCTCAGACTTGGAAAGTCAGAGTAAGGGCTCGGAATAGTGTCAGAGTGTAGTTTAAGAGTTTTGTAGTTGAGGAAATATGTTTTCATCTCCTGGTCCCATTTCTGTCCCTATTTCTGTCCCTTTGTGATGCTTTGGCCTTTGATGGCCAATGGGCCAAGGATTTTGCTGGCATTCTGATGCAATATGGCGCGAGTCCCGATGCACCAGATGCACAAGGGGCTGGAACCTGAATCCAATCGCCGTTTGACCGTCATCATTCCCTGCAATATCCCTGCAGTACACGGGTTTTGGGCCTCTAATGTACCATTCTACAAGCTGAGCTGCTTAAATTGCTCTCAGCTTCTGTGCACAGTTGGAATGATAGCTCTTAGGATTCCCCAGTTCACCTTGCTGCCTTTTATGGTCGTGCAGCTGTGCCATGCTCTCAGATAACGGATTTTATTGCACTGTTTGCACGGCTGGAGAAAACATGATCAGCAAATGCAAAGAGCAAGAACCCTCTGTCCCTGAGCCAATCTGTGCCTTGTGAAAGGTCAGCTGGTCCATTTGTTGAGCAGCTGAGCACCAAGGCTTGACGTCATGTTTCAACTCCGGGTGGATCGCTCAGACGCAACGCAGTGCTACAAAGTCTCAGGAACATGTCGTCAAAATTCTCCAGCGACCCTCAGTAAAACGACTTTTGTCGATATCCGAGGGTGTATACAGCAAACTTGAAACATGTGAAAAGGTGCTGACAGAAGCTATTCATTTTTGTAGACATACAGTGACATACAGTAGTTGATTGTGGACACAGTCAAGCGTCCCCAAACTTCACTGAGGTGGTCTCCTTGACGCTGAACAAAGAAGGCCAGGGTTACAGAGCAGCAAATTGAAATCGACGCTGATCAAAAGCAAAAACGAGACTCTGTGCCAGAGGCGTGGCTGAGTTGTGCAGAGATATCATGCCAGAAAGATCCAGAAAGGAGGTATAGTAACCGGTATAGTACGAAATTCCTAGCCTTTCTGTGTCATGAAGAGGTGAAAAAAGAGGTGAACTCAACTCGTCACAGACTGGCCACTGCAGGCAGAACGTCAATTCATCGTGCCGTGCAAGGAGGCAGTCGTCTTGCCAACATGAAAAATCATGGGGGTTGAATGGTTGAAGCCATAGCCAAATTATGTTAAACCCCTCCAGAGTGTCTCCCAGGTCGCAGTGCAGCCTTGAAGAAGTTAGTGGATGGTGGGAGGCTTCCCTTGGACACTCCCGACAATCGAGGCGCTGGGACCTTAGGATCGCAATTCTGGCTTCGACTTGGGGGGATTAGTGGGATCCCCACTTTGTCGTAGACTTCCTTTTTTTGAATTGGATCCATGGTATTCTCAAAAGCAGTATCCCCAGGATTCCAGGCCAGTTGCTGAGGAGACGCCTTTGCATCTAGCGACCGCTCTTGGAGACGGACATGAGGCGGCTGTTACTAATGTTACAGCTGTTGTTTGCACAGTTCCAGACAACCTGGGGTGAGGTGGTTGAGACGTTGGCGCGCAACCCTGGCACCTCACTGGAGGTGCTCTGCGAATCGATTTGGCTTTGGCTCGCTGGAGAAGCTGGGATAAAGAACTGGTGGATCAGATAGGACAGATGGCAAAAGACGTGTTTTTTCAGGCGCATCGCAGCGATGGCATGGCACCCTTGCAACTGGCAGCCATGCAAGGCGATGGCTCATGATTCTGAGAATTTCAAGAAGTTCTAAAGTGTTGGAAAAACTCTGAGAACCAAACTAAACCAACTAAACCAAGGCACTCTGGAAATCTTCAACAACTTCGACCGGTCCAGTCTTGGCTTTGAGGCAAAACGCGGACCGTGGAGATGCTCCTCCGTGCCAAAGCGCAGTGGGGACGCCTGGAGGTTGTCAGGTCGAGATACAGCAAGGACAGCACCACCTGGTTCCCAGAAGCACCATTGATATGCAATATCCTTAAATATCCTGAGATATCCTTAGATATCTTAGATGTCTTTCATTCCGAATTGCATAATCGTGTTTACCTTTCTCCGGTATGCTGCAATGATCAACACCCGCATGTGTGTGCAGGGTGGAGGTTCTAGACAGTGCAGGAAACACCGCAGGAGCACTCAGTTTTGCTATCGCTGATCCCTCATAGTGTCACGAGGGAAGTTTTGATTTGCTTTCGGGAAGCAGTAGCAATCGTTTGGCCTAAGCCTTTCAATTCTGGGGCATAGTCTCAGCAACAGCAACCGGCGGCGAGACTCCCTAGTTTCCTCGTCTTGCGACCATCCAAGTTTGCAAAGTGTCAGGAAACACGCTTAGTAAACGTCCCTCCATGGGCTATTATAGCATATCCCGTTCATAATTGAGATGTAAATTGAATTAAATTATATAATACTTGAGATAACTTGATTTACATCATATAACTTATAAAATCCTAAGAGATGGCTGAGCCGAGGCTCTTCATCTTGCTGCAGCTGGTGGTCACTTGGGGGTGGTGCATGCGCTTCTGGCACGTCAGGCGGCTGCTCATCGCTTCAGGGTTTTGTTGGGAAAACCTACAGGGAACCCATGTTTTTGGTCCTTGGAACCCTGGAACCTGCCGTTGGTTTGCAAAGCTGGGTTGATGTTTTTACCATACAGGGGCTTCCTTCCAGATTTTCCCAATTCTGGGATGGATTCACTTGTCTTCGAAAGGGAAACAGACACATGTTGTTATGACATGTTATGACTGTTATGATTGTTATGACCCTCCATTTTCCACAGTTGCCGCGTGATTCTGACGTTTCTGATGGGTTCTGAATCTTTTTGAGTTTTTTTGCGTCCTTCGGAACTCCAGGCTTCGCCCAATTTGCGAAACAGCTGCAATGAGACAGCCTTCCAGGCCGCTGGATTGAGATGATTGAGATGATTGAGATATATTGTGATAATGAGACAACGTTAGGTGTGGTGCGGAAGCACTGGTTTGTTCTGAGAAAATTAGCCGACTGCGAAGTACCCCATTGGGGTCATCCAAATCGCTCTTGAATTGAAACTTTCGGACAGCGGACATCACTTTGATGATTCAGGGCTATGTGGACTCAAATTAAGTGGCGCATCCCAAGCTTTTTCTCAGCAAGAACGCCTACCAAGAACGCCTACCAAGAAGCCGATAGTGCCTGCAAAAGTCAAGTGAAATCAAGCCAAGCCAGTGCAGACGTATCCAAATGTTCGTGGGGATGTGCTCGAATGGTCTTTTTGTTTTCCTCCCACCTGCCAGGTGTGGGTCTCTAGATTTTTCGACAAAGGTGCAACTCCAACCCTCACTCACTCACTCACTCACTCACTCACTCACTCCCGCCTTCACTCCTTCGCTCTCGCCGGATACAGCGGAGTGCGCCTGGACCCGAAGTCATGCCAGAGAGAATGCCAGAGACAAGGCGAGAGAGAAAGCCAGACAGAATGTCAGATAGATTGCCAGTTAGAATGCCAGAATGAATGCCTGAAAAGATGCCAGATAGAATGCCTGAAAAGATGCCAGTTAGAATGCCAGATAGAATGTCAGAATAGATGCCAGATACAATGCCAGAATGAATACCTGAAACGATGTCAGATAGAATGCCAGAAAGAATTGTCAGAATAGATGCCGGGTAGAATGTCGGATAGAATGTCAGAGCATATGCCAGAAAGAATGGCAGACTATATATATATGTGCCACATATACTTCCAGGTGGTATGCCAGAAACTATGTCAAAATAGGGTGTCAGGGTGGGGTTCACTCGAAGAATGCATTTTTCTTTTATGCGCAGTATTGTCTTTCAATTCCAAAGGACATCAATACATTGCTGTGACTGATCTCAGGTGGCTGGTACCCGTGGATTCGTGGAGGTTGCCAGGGCAATGAATCCCTTTGTGTCGCCCAGCAGCGTTTCGTTTTTTTTCATCGCTGGGTGGTTTCAAATACTTCCCAAATCCTACGTGCCATTCCAAAATCATCCTAAATACTCAATATGCCTAAAACTACATCTCCATATCAATCCATATCATACAAGATATCTACATCATACTACATCTAAATATGGTATGCTGAATGCAACCTCAATGTCATCTCTCAGGTCTGCAGAGCCCATGCAGGCCGCGAATGGGGGATCCCCAATAGCTGGATGGTTTATAATGGAAAATCCTACTCAACTGGATGATTCAGGGGTACCCCCATTAGGAAACCTCCAAATAAGATCATGGAGCATGTTCACTTTTTTGTTTCCCCCTCCTGATCATATGTTTTTCCCTTCTGTGGTCGGGGCTGCTGTGGAGTTCTGTGCTGCATGGTTTGGTCAACTGGTAAACTGTAATTCATTTCCATTAAGAAAATCTCAAGAGATTGCCCGTGTTTCTTCAGGTCACGCAGCCAGCTCCTCTCGCCTTTGCGCAAACGTACCCTGGGCTTGAGGATGGCTGTCTAATTTGAAGCGGGTAATCCAGCCTGGCCCTTCCCATTTGTACATTAAAAACTGGCATTGAAGATTGGGATGTCCCATTGCCAGGCTTGTCAGGGTAGCACTTCTCTCTGATTTTCTTCAGCTCACCAGATTGCACCGGGTTTGAAGTCAAGGCGTCTCAAAGAGAATGGGACAAGATTGCTCCTCAATCAGATTTCAGGGTGACATATCACTGACCCCTGATCAAAGGTTGCTCAGTGTTGAAAATCCCAGCCACCATGCCAAGTGTTTGTGACGGCGGAAACATTGAACCATTTGTCATGCAAATAGCAGAGATCGAAGTTCTCTTGTGCCCATGGGGTATTGGTGAAATCAATTTAGGACCAATTTTGATCATTTTGAATATATATATATATGATCATTCTAGGACCCATTGGACCACAGATTTTGATCATTTGACTTCCCATCAATTGAAAGGGCACAAGTCTCCGCAGCCAAGGCCTTCTCCTATTGCAGCTGCTACAGCATATGTCAGCTACTCGGGTGCTTGCGAGACATATTTGAGTTTGTCTGAGAATTGGATGCCTGCAAACCCAGAGGATTATCATCATTACCCATTCACATTGCTATTTGGCGGGTATACCCCATCAGACAAACCCATTCAACATGGTATTGTCATCAGCTTCTAGGGAAGTAAATCAAGAGTCATATCTCCCAGAATTTCTCCTTCAGGCAACCTTTGGAGCAGCCAGTCCTGGTGGAATGTCACCTATGTCTCCGGCCAATGCACGGGTTCGAACATGGGATGTGGGCTTGGAAGTGGCATTGGAGAACTCGCAGCTTGGGAAGCGTTACAGCTGGAGCTGCTGGGAACTGCTGGGAGGCCAGATCTCTTCCACCACCACGCAGCGGCAAAGAACCGTTGGTGGCTCCGAGCTCAGCCATACTTTGAGCCAAGCCCCAGAACTGGCAGGAAGGGATAGCTGTGGAGAGACCAATTTTCCGGACCTGGACTGTTGTTGATATTCGGGGACTATGTTGAAACGGTTGTGAGGGTGAATCGATGGAAGGAACAGGGTGACAGGACATCTGGGATTGACTTCACAGGCCCTGTTGCGGCGGGGACAAGCTGCATCACCTGCTGCGACGCTGTGGGATGCTTAGTGGCTGGCTGTTGCTCCCAGAATTGGGTCAGGGAAACTGTAATTTTCCAGGGCCTCCCTGAGGGTGGATTTTCCAGCCAGCACAATTATCAATATCTAGCATCTTAAAACATCTTAAAACCTGGTTGGTAATCTCACGTGTTTCGTGGCTAGATTGGCTAGGCCATATGGTTATAGCGGCCGTCCGGTTCGGGCTGAAGGTTTGTCTCTGCTAAAGGGAGCCCAGCTTAGGTGAACATGGTAGCTTCTGTTGGGTGTGATAGGTGAATTTTTAGCCAGGGCGATTCCCAAGCTTGGTATCTAGGATTGGCCATGTCATGGTTGATCTTTTGAAATGGAAACTCCACCATGGGTGGAAACACTAGAGACCTATTCGAAAAATTTAAGATATATACTTTGATGGGGCGAGCGGTGACATGTCTATGAGGGACTCAGTGATTTGAGCTTCTGACTGGACTGTCCTCGGTGCTTTGATGACAGCCTTTGGGTCAAAGTTCAAAGATACAAAAGATACAAGTCTGAGCGAAAGAATCTAGATCAGGTCGCACATGGGGCTTATACACGGCATTAATTTTTCAGACTTGTCTCTGGCAGGCTTTTTCACAGGACAAGGTGAATTCCACTCGAATGTCATTCTTCTGAAGATGAAACAACAGAGCTGTAACGTAGAGACTTGGCTAGCTATTGAAGCTATTGACTTTGTCGGAATTTTGCGGCCGTTCCTGTAGCGTGGCCGTTAGGATGGCATCCAAAACCACGAAAGAGCGAAGCCGCACATTCAAATCAGTTGAAGAATGCTTCGCAGCAGCAGGACGTTTGGAAGAGGAATCAAATCCAGTGACGCGCACTGCATGTGCCATGACTTTTCGTGACTATTCGTAGCCGTCGTTGCCCCAAAGTTTCAAGCAGAGTATTTCTGAGAGCAAGTCTCCTTTTCAAGACTTTGGAATTCTGGCTTAAAGTTCTACACAGATCACAGAGACTTCTCTTCTTCTTCCATTCTTTCTGGGCAGCATAGGCAGCATTCGCAGCATTCATATCTTGCAGGGTTGTGTCGTTGAGGTACACCTGATTTAGAATTCTTCAAAGTCTTGGGCATCCCCCGCCGTGGCGACTGGCTGTCTGAGCACAAGGAGGTTGGGCAGACATACAGCACCTACCAGAGGCGAATGAAGCCTCCGATGACGCCGAGTGTCTTGGTGGCATGCTGACAATATGGTGACATTGTTGATGCTGTGTAGAAAATCCCAAACGAGGCCACGATTTTGTTGAGTTGTTCCTTAGGCCGCCGGACATTTTTTTTGAAATATCAAAGCAACCCATCTTGGAAATTGAGTAGCGTGACGTGGCCAGCCGAAATTGCTGGATCTCAAGCAACAATCACGATGCTCCACTCCAAGGCAAGCACACTGACACGATTTTACTGGTTCCCTTTGGCAACTTTGAAGAGGGTGTGGCAAAGCACTTCTTGCCCCTTTTGTTGGAGTACTGCCAAGCCTTCTTCCCTGGGATGTTGGTCGAATGTGTTGAGAAGCCTTTGTCCATCGCGAAGGCAATTGCCAAGAACAAGCCGTGTAGATGCTTCTAGGAAACTGTTCAGACGTGGCTAGATTCCAGGCGTTTTAGGTTGACTCAAAGTGATTCTTGGCTATCAGGCCAATTCAGCACCTTGACCTTGAGCCAGGCCAAGAAAAGACAGAACGACTTTGGTCATGATCAGTACCTGATCGCAGACCTCTTTGAAGCCTTGAACACACAGACCAGAAGCTATCGAAGAGCCTACTGTCGCCTCGGCATCACTTTGGAATCTTGGCGGCAATGCGTGGGAAAGAACCACGATACTTTTCGTTTACATAGATGGCATGCAATCCAGGCAGACACATGGAGATTTGGCCCAGGAAGACATCTATCCAGGGGAGGAGTGGAACTACGTCTTTGGTCAAGCAAAGCCCATGGAGTGCCTCGATTATTTCGATTCCGGGCTGATGACTTTGGGAAGGTGTCTCCAAGTCTCGTCACGGCCGGCTTCCTCACCACCCATCAAGGTTTCACAGCCATAGAAACATTGCGTGCGCCCACGCCACATGGGATAATGATCAAGGTTTGTTCTTACCTTCAGCGATCAAAAGATGTTGAGATAGGAGTAGATTCTGCGGGAGCCAGGTCTTGGATGTTTCTTCAAGAACATTGGGTGGTGGGACTTCAAATTCACGCCCTCTACTGACTCTAGTGACTTCAGATGCTTCAGCGCACAAGGCTCAGTCTGAGGCTTTACAGGTTGGATCTTTCCGATAACTTGGCACAACTTGGCACTAGGCCAAAGGTGAGAGACCCGTTGCAACTTTCCAGCCCGATAGCCAAGGCGCGTGGGCGTTTTCTCCTTTGCACGGCATTCACCCTTTTTCTACCAGGGATTGCATGCTTCGCAGGCGGGGGACTCTTCGTTTGCAGATGCGGTCCCAATGGCAAGTTGAATGCCTGAGGTACCAACTTTGAAAGATGCTGCTGGGTGGCTTCGTGCTTGCAACTTGCAGCAGAGTCAGTGATTTTCAGAGAACGCATTTTGCAGCTGGGTGCTACCAATGATGACATGGCCTTTGATCAGCTCAAGTGCTGGTTTAAATGCCAGCTCCAGAGGCATGCGGACAATGGTGCATGAAACTTGCCATATGTCCAGTCCTCAGCACCTGGTTGGCCTCTTGTGAAGCTCCGTTTTGACCAGCCTTCATTTTTGTGAGGTTTGGTATCCTTCATTGTGTCTACTTTCACTGTTTGATGACCCTTGACTGCCTGAAGAGCTGGACTGAGAAGAGATTGAGATGGTGGGCTAAAGCCATAGGCAGATGAGGTCATGGGTTGGTTTGTGGTATTGCCGAGTATCGCTGTCACAGTAGATGCCACACGAAATGTATACCTACTACAAAGGATTTGTTGTGTTTTGACCAACTATCTCAATATTTCTCATTCTGGACCCAGTCACTACTTGGTTTCACCCTGCTTCACTGGAGGAACGGCAATAACGGCCCCGGCGACAGCGCTGGACGCAGCAGCTTCTTGTGCCCTGTGTGCCTTCGGAAGGTGTGGCTGGCGCTGTCCTTTGCCCCCGCAGACGGCAGATCGGTGCTATCACGCTACCAGGTCGTGGGGCAAGAAAAAATGGTTGGAGACAATTTGGATACGGGAGATCCTGTTGAGGAAAGTGTTAGGGATACCCCACTGCATCCCACTGCTTTTGGTGCTTGCTTGTTACATGTTTGACCTAGCAAAGATATCAAAGCTCGAGGCGGAGTTGTGTGTCCTGCTGCGGATTTACGGAAGCAAAAGCACACAGCAACAAAGCAATTAGCACTGTTAGCACTATCAAGAGGTGAGATTTGAAGAGATCTATGCGGGTAGCGATGGGTTTCCCTTCAGCAGATCGAATTCTGTTCTTTTCTGCGCCCCGGTAGGCGATTCTGCAAGTGATGCAACAGATGGCCGTGACCTTCCGAGAAATGGAGGTGCAGGATGAAGAGATGGCTGAAGTGCTGGCCGATCTTGGCTGGTTGGAGATCCTTAGCCGATAAGCTGGGAAGGGAATATAGATGCACACACACACATACACATATACACACACACACACGCACATACTCAGCACACTTGCTGATTAACAGTCTCACTCAGGAAACGGATGGCCACGTTGAGTCCGTGATGGGCCCTGGAGAATGCGATCATCGGTTGATTCTCGCGGAGTGAACTCATGGAGACTGCAAATTCTGCAGAAACCATAACCTCCGGCAATCAAACATGGCTGGAAAATCCTGATTATGGCTAGGAAGATGATATAAAACTGGGGGATTTCCTAGCCATGTGACTGGTTTTTGGAGGGTAACCTTTTTGGGGGCATTGCCGACTGTCGATTCCCCCTGGTCTCAAACTGAATTGTGAGCTGATCACTTGCGGCACTCCAAGTGCCCCCAAACACGTACAGATGTATAGATGGAGGCACGAGTGCCTTGACGGTGTCCGCATTTGGAGCGTGACAAAAAGACTGCGGATTTGGTAATTAAAATAATGTCAGAGCCAGCACAGGGTATGCAATCATGAGCAGCTGGAGTCAACGATACACAGACGTTGATGTTCAAGTTGTGGCTAATGGCTTGGTTAACAGCTATCTTTTATGTTGAGAGACACCTGGCAGCCTGGAGTACCCAAAGTGAAAGTCGGACGGATGTTTCATGAGAAATGTCGTGATGAATCAGCATTTTTAGCTAACTATCAGCAAAGGGTATCTTTATTCTGAGGGATTGGAAGTGCCAACTGAAGAAAACATTTGTTTGAGTGCCTCTCAAAATTAAGATATCCAACTAGTACATTCGCAATACCAACTGGTCTGGGATTCTATTCAATTGATCCTTGTATCATCTTGTATCTTGTTTAGATATTGACATCAGCTCATTTTGCTTTTCAGCTTCCGCACAAACCAAGGCGGGGCTGCTTGCTTTCGCCCCAAAGCGTCAGTGGACCTGGTAGCAGGGTTCAGCATACATGCTGTCTCCTTTTGTAGTATCATATATATATATATACATAACACACACACACATATATATATATAAATATAAACACCTATACCATCTTTATCAATATCTATATCTCTATCTATACGACCTATATCTATGTCTACATCTATGTCTATATCTATGCTTACACCTATACCGATCGATATGAATATATCTTTATCTATATCTGTATCTCTATATACATATATATATATATCTATAGGCTATAGCCATATCTATATCTGTATACTATATGCCATGCATTGATTCAAATTCCTTTTTAATCCACAGTCCCGCTCTCACAGTGACTATGTCATGCTTTCGAGAAGTATCCCACTTTGTAGCCCAGGATCAAGCAGCCTTGAGCTCCCTTCTGGATCGTTCAGCACAAGGCACCAAGATAAGGTATGAGTCATGCGTGCTCACAAACTTCTCTGGTTCCGGATGTTTCCCGGTTCTGAGGAATTTGACATCTACAATGATATAAACCCACTGTATCCACTTTAAGATGCTGAACTGGAGCTCAGCTCAGACGAAAGCTGCGCAGATGACATGAGGCAGACAGCGTCCAAATCCATTGCATGCGACGGCGCCAGAACTTCGAGTTGCACCACCTGCGTGGGGAGCACAGGAGGAATCTTACAGAACAAAAAAGGGGAAGTGCTGCCACAAGTACCACCTGGTTACCAGCTTTTCCAAGGCATCCCGAGGCCCCCAAGGCCCCCATGTTTCTGTGGATTTCCGCTGACTTGAGGCCGTCTGCTCCAGCCCCGCCCATGCTCACTGCACCTGCTGTGCCATGTGGCCCGCGGATAGCTCAGATAACCAGAACGTGACGCCGAAGCAGCACAGCTTGCTTTTGAGCTCTGAATGTTTGTGGTCCAAGACAATTTGAAGGAAAGAAGTATGGAGTGAGCACTTGTTGTGACCTCAAATATATTGACACGCCTGCTTTTGAATCACAGAACCTCCGAGGCCACCGCAAATTCATCAGTGTGGGCCAAAGGGCTAGAGATGAGGCTGTTGCGGAAGCGAAATCCGCAAATTCATCCACGGAGGCAGCAGTAAAAATTATCAGCTGAGGCCTGCCCCTGCACCAGCACCGGCACCAGCACTGGCACCAGCACCGGCACCAATCCCGCCGGCAGCACCTGGAGTGCCCGCTGCGCCAGGGCCCAAAGGAACGCAGGACTGAACATCAGAGAGCTGGAGGGATGTGCTGCATTTGGCAAGGTAAGAATAGATAAGAAACACTTGCTACAGTATTGCATGCTATTGCTATTGCTTTCAACTTCTACAGTAGCGGACGAACTCTTGGACTGAATGTCAAAAAGACAAGTACCTGAAACTAGATTGGGACACTGTGACTGAAAATCTGGCCATCTATCAGACTTTAGAGCAGTCTTTGTTTGGTCTTCAGAGTGTAGGCATCCTGCAAAGCAGCGCCATTCTACTTGTGTTCTGGTTTTGAGCGGAGACTAGCAGAGGATTAGCAGAGACTCATCTGCTTGCCTAGTCCTCTTTTTTTTTTGTTTTTTTCCCAGACCTCAACTTGATATTCATATGTGCCTATTCTCTTTCTAGCAGTCAAGGCCTGCCCCGGCACCAGCACTGGCACCAGCACCGGCACCAATCCCACCGGCAGCACCTGGAGTGCCCGCTGCGCCAGGGCCCAAAGGAATGAAGGACTGAACATCAGAGAGCTGGAGGGATGTGCTGCATTTGGCAAGGTGAAAATAGATCAGAAACACTTGCTATTGCATGCTATTGCATGCTATTGCTATTGCCTTCAGCTTCTACAGTAGCGGACGAACTCTTGGACTGAATGTCAAAAAGACAAGTACCTGAAACTAGATTGGGACACTGTGACTGAAAATCTGGTCATCTAGTTCAGACTTTAGAGCAGTCTTCGGTATTCAGAGTGTAGGCATCCTGCAAACCAGCGCCATTCTACTTGTTTTCCGGTTTTGAGCGGAGACTAGCAGAGGATTAGCAGAGACTCATCTGCTTGCCTAGTCCTCTTTTTTTTTGTTTTTTTCCCAGACCTCAACTTGATATTCATATGTGCCTATTCTCTTTCTAGCAGTCAAGGCCTGCCCCGGCACCAGCACTGGCACCAGCACCGGCACCAATCCCGCCGGCAGCACCTGGAGTGCCCGCTGCGCCAGGGCCCAAAGGAACGCAGGACTGAACATCAGAGAGCTGGAGGGATGTGCTGCATTTGGCAAGGTGAAAATAGATAAGAAAGACTTGCTATTGCATGCTATTGCATGCTATTGCTATTGCTTTCAACTTCTACAGTAGCGGACGAACTCTTGGACTGAATGTCAAAAAGACAAGTACCTGAAACTAGATTGGGACACTGTGACTGAAAATCTGGTCATCTAGTTCAGACTTTAGAGCAGTCTTTGGTCTTCAGAGTGTAGGCATCCTGCAAAGCAGCGCCATTCTACTTGTGTTCTGGTTTTGAGCGGAGACTAGCAGAGGATTAGCAGAGACTCATCTGCTTGCCTAGTCCTCTTTTTTTTTGTTTTTTTCCCAGACCTCAACTTGATATTCATATGTGCCTATTCTCTTTCTAGCAGTCAAGGCCTGCCCCGGCACCAGCACTGGCACCAGCACCGGCACCAATCCCGCCGGCAGCACCTGGAGTGCCCGCTGCGCCAGGGCCCAAAGGAACGCAGGACTGAACATCAGAGAGCTGGAGGGATGTGCTGCATTTGGCAAGGTAAGAATAGATAAGAAAGACTTGCTACAGTATTGCATGCTATTGCTATTGCTTTCAACTTCTACAGTAGCGGACGAACTCTTGGACTGAATGTCAAAAAGACAAGTACCTGAAACTAGATTGGGACACTGTGACTGAAAATCTGGCCATCTATCAGACTTTAGAGCAGTCTTCGGTATTCAGAGTGTAGGCATACTGCAAACCAGCGCCATTCTACTTGTTTTCCGGTTTTGAGTGGAGACTAGCAGAGGATTAGCAGAGACTCATCTGCTTGCCTAGTCCTTTTTTTTTTTTGTTTTTTTTCCCAGACCTCAACTTGATATTCATATGTGCCTATTCTCTTTCTAGCAGTCAAGGCCTGCCCCGGCACCAGCACCGGCACCAGCACCGGCACCAATCCCGCCGGCAGCACCTGGAGTGCCCGCTGCGCCAGGGCCCAAAGGAATGAAGAATCGAACTGATCGAATGGATCTAACATGATCTAACATCAGGAAAGCTGGAGGAATGCGCTGCCATGGGCAGCATTGCATGAGAGCACACATGTGCATAGGAACATGGGGAGGTAGTGCTGAACTGCCAACGGTGCAGCTACAGAGGCTCAAATAGCCCAAAGCAAGGTCCAGATAGGTCACGTCAGCCATGGCTGCACTGGCATTGTCCCTCATGGAGAGGGTGGCAGACGCGCAGCTGGCGCGCAACACCATCTTTCCGGACAACGCCACCAGCCCCGTAGTGGGCCTACTGCTGATGGCAGCCACTTCAGCGCTGGACCACTGGACGCTATGCGGCAACAACCCAGTTCGGCACCTGAGTCTGACTCTTGTCCAGATGATGGCCATCATTGGCCCCTTAGCCTGTGAGTCGACAGCGGCCATGGCAGAGGGGGACTTTGTATGGACAGAGGGTCCAGACCATCCCACTGGAGAGGAGGTAGCCCGAGAGATGACCGCGCTCAGGGCTGAACTGGAACTTGCCACGGATCATATGATTCGTTGGCGCCTCGCCAAAGACGCCGAATCAGGGACCCGGGCAGACCGGCTCCTCTACTCTGCGGTGCTGGCCATAGAGGAACTTCGCTATTATGACATCTTCCCGTCCCTCAACCTGATCCAAACGGCCCTGAAAAACTATCAGTGGCGCATGCAGACGGCGCTCCTGGAAAGAACTCAGGACAGGCTTCAGGAAGCCATGATGGCTGGCCAGCAGCCCCAGTGAATGCACAGGGTACACCTATGAGATTTCGAACACCATGACAGTCGGGCTAAGCCAGGGCCTCATTTCCTCTGTCTACTTCGAGACCGGACAGGGGACAGGCTCTGCTCATTTTGATCATTGCGCGGGTTGAAAAAGGGACCGCAGAGTTCTGCAAGTGCCTGCAATCTGGGCTTCATCAGCCCTTCTCATCACTCATAGCATGTGACTTGGAGACATTCTGTTATCCAACGTGAATGCATTCAGCGTTTCAGTTTCATCTTGCAGTGTGTAGGGTTGACGATGCACGGAGTGATTCTTGCTGTGTGTATTTCACTTGCTTTGATTTCATTTGATTGCATGCATTTCTTTACACAGTTTCGGATTTCCACCACAGTTTGGCTGCTCTCAGATGTCTAATTTAGGAGAGTTGTGGGACTCCCTTCGCAGGGCTGGGCTTGAACAACTTGCCCCTGACCTAGTCCGCCATGGGATCGTCAGCCTCAACCAGCTGGTGTTGAGGTATGACGCACTGCATGAGGCAGGCATGCCCCATTGGCAATTGGAGGCCATCCTTGCCTCCTCGGGGACCCCGGCAGCAGGCCCGGGCGCTACCCCGGACACAACAAACCGGATCGATCTTCCGGTGCGTCGCATGGGCAAGAGAGCCTGCTTACAGGCGGCGTTGGAAGCGGCCTTACCGAACCAGAGGCAACGGTCTTTGCAACTTCTGGACCAAGATGTGTTGGCGAAGTCAACCAACCCAGCAGTCGAAGCTCGAGTCCGAACCTACATGGCCATCTGCCGTGCTTGGGAGATAGCTGGATTCCCACTGGACGGCAACAATATCAGATGCTTTGGTGCATCGCTCAAAGCGGGTGGGTACCGCAGTGCGGCAGTGTACTTTCAGGCCATATGCGGCCACCAACAGAGAGTACTCAAGACACCAGTCCCAGCCATTGTCAAGCTGGGCATCAGAGATTGCATCAGGTCCATCCAACGTGGGCTTGGCGAGAGCAAGCTCAAGGATGCCTTCAACGGGCTACTTTTAGGAGGCATACAGCCGACCTCAGATGAAGAGCCTTTTTCGTTTGACAATATCTCCCACTGCCGGGACATGGCCATGATCGGGTTGTGGTTCATGCTCCGTGAGTCTGAAATGGCAAGTGCACGGGCATGCGACATCCGCTTAGATGGCAACGAAGTCTGTCTGAGCATTCCCATCCACAAGACGGATCAACGAGGACGGTACACAGAACGGTCCTTGACATGCTCCTGCACCGTGAAAATCCACGGGATGTGTGTTTGGCACAGTGCCGAACGTCACCTGGTCCGACTGGAAGCCCTCGTCAATGGAGGCTCACGGCAACACCTTCCACTGTTTCCAGATTCAGACGGACGCACAGCATCCAAGAGCACCTTCATTGAAGCGGTTCGAAGAGTCATAGCAAGAACGGGAACTTCACTCACACGCCCAGGTCCAGAGGGGCAAGAGACACAGAGATACCACGGCCACGTGCTCCGGATCTCAGGTGCACAGATGCTGTCGAGCTCTGGGGTCGAACTCTCCTTGATCCAGTTGCTCGGGAGGTGGACCAGTACAGCCGTACTGCGCTACACCCAGGACAGCGCCTTGAATAGGGTGCCCCAGATACCCCAACAAGTGTTGCAAGACGATGCGGCTGGCACATGCAAACTACAACTACAAGTGGTTCAGGGAGCCGGCAAGGCATCATCGAGCCAGGCGTCGCCTCAACCGGCTGCACCCGCAGCCAGACCCAAGGCCCTGGCAGCAGCAGTCAGAGGCTTGAAAGCTGAGCTCGAACAAGTGAAGCAGGCCGTGCAGGCGCCTGCACAAACATATGTTTTCCGCCCAAGGGCCAGAATCCTACACAAAGCCTCATATCATGAGGACAGCAATGAACCCGTCAAATGGCGGACACCGTGTGGCTGGAACTATGGCAGTCGCACATTTTTGAGAACGTCCAACGAGTTTGACGGAGCCAGACGTTGTAGGAAGTGTTTTAACCTGAGCGAAGACTCAAGCTCAGATAGCAGTGACGGGTCCTCAGGCCTCACTGATTTAGCCAGCTCCTCTGCAAGCAGCGCAGAGGCAGACTAGGCGGCTCCAGCAGGCGAGCTGACCACATGCGGAGATGGAAAAACAAAGCGGCCACAACATATTTCACATTTCTCACGTGCATTCCAACAATGACAGCGTGACCGAGACATCTTTGAAGTTTATTTGTGTTCAGTTTCATGGTCATGCCTCTCATGCCGGATTGTTTCCCATGTTTGCTTCATTTGAAGGTGCAATTGACAGTGCTTCGTTATTTTATTTGCTGATTTGATGCATTCTGTTTTTCCCTCAGTCTGGCTGAGCACAACCGGTCCCAACGAGACTTCACGACCATGGTGCTCTCCCTTGCACCCACGTCGCTGGCAGACCTAGCAAGAGACGCGGCGGCCGGCGACATAGTCAACGAATACCTCGACGCTAGAGGGATCAAGACTCCGGCCACTTTGGCCCTTCTGAGTCGAGACGAAGACAACCTCGACCTCACCCTGATACAGCCTCTCCTGCAGGGCTGGCCTAGACCAGATGGCACGACCATCACCGTGCGAGAACAGGACAAGCCCATTGCCAAGGCGGTATTGCTGCACATGTGGATGATGGCCAAGCAGGTATGGGAAGCGACACAACATGCAGCCATGCCGAAGGCCACACCGACCCAGAGCACGTCTTCCACGGCAGCCTCAACACCAGCCGAGGACAAGGTCCCCAAGGCACTGGCTCCAGGACGTTGGACAGCACTGGTGCAGGAATACCAGTCACAGCAGATCGGAGGCCAAGACCGAGTCTTCCCAGTCCAGGAGTTACTGGGGACAGAAGCTGTCATCGCCCGGGTCCTACACGAGCATGAGACCAGCAAGAACTATACCCCAGTGTTGCTGGGGGAGCTGATCTCGACCAGGACCTTTCAGGCCAATGGTGAGCCGAACCCTCTCGCAAAGAGAGAGCGCAATGTGACCAAGCTCACATTGACAGGTGAGCAACTTGTGGCCACCCCTGAGGAACCGTGGCAACCTCGGAGCGTCCTTGCCATCCTGGACGGCTTGGCGAGCATTCGATGGTGCTTCATCCTATGCAAGCTGGGCACCGAGCAGGCGGTCCACGCCTTTTTCGATTGGCTGGTCAGGTTGGTCCGCAGCAGACCACAGAAGACGGACCAGCTTGCGCAGTTCTGGATGACGGTCTCCTGGAAGCTGGCCCTTGAGATGAGAGGAGGCCGCACGTTCATGGAGGCCACGGCGCTCATCATGAAGGACTACGATTCTTTCACTGAGTGCATGAGCCGTGAACCCAGCCAGACCACCAAGAAGCCCATGCCATCAGCCCCTGCCAAGGCTGAAACCAAGGGTTATGGAAAAGGTAGCACAAAGTCAGGGAAGGGCACGAGACCTTCTCCTTACAGCCGCCCTACAAAACAGGGGACATGGCACAAGGACGACGGCTATGACAGAGCCGCCCACCCTTGGCAGGGATCGCAGAAGCAGGATGACAAGCCGAAGTGGCAGAAGGAGCCCTGGTCTTCCGATTGGAAGACGCCGTCCAAATAGGGACAACACGGGGTCATGAGACAGGTGGATCTCGTGACACCCGACAGCACTGGGTACCCGCCACCCAGCCAACCACCAACGGCCGAGCGAGGCCAAGTTTTCCAGAAGTTAGATGAGGAGGTCATCCTTGTCAGCTGTTTCGACGGCATTGGGTCTGCTGCTTTGATCCTCAAAGGGCTGGTAGCAGCCATTTCGCTGCACATTGTATGGGAGGTGGACAGCGATTGTATGGAAGTGCTGAAGGCCCGTCACCCAGAGGCGGTGACCCGGGGTGATTTTCTCAAAGATGACCCTGATGAGGTCGCCAGAGTGATACACCGCCATGATCCTGAGGGCACCAAGCTGGTGCTCTTCGCAGCTGCTCCCCCATGCCCTGACTTCTCACGCATTCGTGCAGATGCACCAGGCTCAGCAGGTGAAGAAGGCCACAAATTCACAGCATACTGTGAATTTATCAGGAAGGTGGAGATGGGCATACCTCACAGGAGGATAGGCCACCTTACCGAGAACGTGGTGATGGACAAGGGAGAGGCTGACCATTTCTCCAGCCTCCTGGACTGCAATGCGATCTTGGCTGACGCGCAAGACTTCGGCCTCATCAACCGCCCTCGTTTGTGGTGGACAAGAGTGGACTGGAGCAGCATCCGGACAAATCCCATCACAGGGAAACGGTTACGGTGGTCCAAGAGCCAAAAATACCACCGTCTCCATCACGACACCACGTTCCAGGAAGAGACGGATCTCCAGCTGGAAGGCCTTCGACTTCACAATGCGGTGGCATCTCATGACAAGCGCATCCCGTGTCTGACAACTCCAGCACCATCGGACGATGGCAGACCAGCGCCGAAGAAGCTGAAAGGGAAGATAGACCCTGAACAGAAGGCGCGATGGATGAATGATGGGCGGCTATTTGCTCCATGGCAATACTCCAAGGAGGCTCTTCTACATGCAGCCGATGGGAGCATGGTGGTCCCGCCCCCGGAAGCCAAGGAACAGCTGCACCAGCTGCCGAAATGGTATACGTCCGTCCCGGGAGTGTCGGAGAAAGCCAGACACAGAATGCTGGCAAACGGTTGGCACATTGGATCAGCACGGTTCATCATGATGCTGGTCCTCCAATCCATGTTGATGGTGACCGCTTCGTCACCCGTGCCACAGCCACGGCACACCGCGCTTCAGACCATGCTGACCTTCCTGCAGCCAGCGACACCGCACCTAGGCCCAGGGACATGGCCCAGCGAAGCAACGTGCGTGGCCCAAGCCGGGTCGATGTGGGAGCATTGGCAGATGGCCGTGGCTTCCAGTCACCCAGTACAACGGCCCCCTCGGCTGGAGCCGGGGCTACAGCAATGTGTGGACTTCCGGGGCATCATTGGAGGCAGCCTCGCACGCATGAGGACAGAGATAGTGGACGAGATCAAACAGTGGGCCCTCGACAGCATGGATGCGACCGAGACCTGGTGGAAGTCACTTCCACCTCACGTGGCCCAGGTTTACTTCAACAAAGACCACAACCAAATCTCACAGATTCCACTTCTGTTGCGATTGCTCGACCTGGCCAAGATGCCAGGCCTTCCAGAGCTCACAGAAGACCTCCAGTCAGGGTTCCAGGTGACTGGTGAATTGCATGCGGGAGCGGGCTGGCTCCCACGGGCTGACAGCAAGTATGAGTTCCCAACGTCGGCCGAGACCTTCATGAAGCACAACCAACACTATACCAGAGCCAAACTGCGCAGCAAACGCGTGGATCCAGAATGGTCATCCATGTTGGATGAACTGCG